TCGGAAAAATGACAAACAGCTCTCTGGTGTGGTTGATATTTTGTGAGCAACTCGTGTTGCAAAAGAGCGAAGCAAGCACTGCGTTTAGCTTTTGATTCTTGATTTGCAGCAAAAGAAGAGAAATGGAGCTCCAACAAAGCTACCTTCGTCATGACCAGGTCCTAAACCAAAACGTTTCAGAGGCCACGATTTCATTTGCCAAGATGTATCAAGCACTCTTGTTCAAACATCAAGCCAATTGAATCCAATAACTCTCACAGGAGATATGGGTTTGTTGTCTCAAAATCGAGGAGCCAGCTTCGCGTTGGCTTCCCTTTAATCAACCCCAAAAAAAACATATATATATATATATATATATATATATTTCTGTATGTAAGTATATATATATACATATATATATATATATATGTATATGGAAAACAAAACTCACTACACATTTACTTCCTGGCTACCAATTGCATCTGCGCCAGGCATTCCGAATGTGAAAATAGAGGAGCTCAGCACCGGCCGCCAGCCGCCTCCAACCGCGAGGCGCAAAAAAAAACGAAGAGGCGGGGTAGTTCTTAGATGGCCGAGGAGCGAGCTGAATTAACCCAAGTCACACAGGGTCTACAGGTCACTGAGATGTGAAGAGGTCACTCAAAGGTGGCTGAGATGTCTCTGAGAAAATGCCCTCCTTATGTTAAACGGGAAACCGAATGCAAAATCAGCTGATCCGACGTGTTTCTTGCGAAGCTTTCTTGACTCATGGCACGGCTCCTTCTTGTCAGGCAAGCACCAAATCAAATTGAAAAAAATGGAAGAGGGTTGCAAAAAGAATGCCGGTGAAAAAAAAGACGAAGGAAATTGGATGAGGGTTGTGAAAAGAACCGCCACTGAAAGAAAAGAAAAAAACACAGAGAGCCCTTTGGATCATTCTCTCCCCTGATAAGCACAAGCCCCAAGACCCATGGCGCCAAAGGAGGGGGATTCGAATCCCAAGTCAACTGCGAGCGGGCCTCGCGGAACTCAAGACTGCCGGAAATGTGGCTTATGGCGCCAGCGAGTCGAACGAACATGTTTGGCAAATGGGGCAAATCACCTTGTCAATGTGTGTGTGTGTGTGTTTATTATGATTCTTCTTTTTTTAACAAGACTTCAAACAAGCCCCGCAAAATAAGTGCATATGATTCAACTAGACCGCAACCACAGGCACCAAAAGGTTGATCGAACTGCACGCAGACCTCACGATTGCTGGTGATGCGATGGCGAGGAAACTCAGTCGAACCAAAATGAAAGAAAGTCATCCAAGACAACCCAACCATAGGTGTCCTTTTTGGAAAATAGATGGTAGATGCTTGAACCACCAGGCAAGCCAAGAAGCAAGAAAACCAAAAGGACCAAGCGCTATGCCCCAAGGATTCTCTTCTTCAGGCTGACGGAAGCACCAGGCATCCCTCCATCTCTCTCGGTCCGGAGGGAAGCCTCCCTGCAGGAGGGTCGAAAGAGTGGCTCCGGCTGTGGCCGAAATTATTTCACCATCAAAGTCACCCCCAAACTTCCCCAGAATTAGCTCCCCTTTTTGTTTTTTTGCTTCTTTGGGGTCCCTTTGTTTTCCACTAACCAGGCAAAAAACAAAAAAAACTTTTGCCTGGGGTCCTAATTCCAGCCTAGCAAAGTGGTGGGTCAAAGGGAAACCACCCCGGTTTCTGACTTTAACCCTTCGAAACCGCCATTTTTTTTGGCCCCGGTCTCTCCGGCTGGCGAGGTGCCAGAAAAAAAAAGTCGGTCGGACTCTGACAAAGCCTGACGGGTGGGGAATCAAGACTTCCCATCGGCCAAGTGCCTTCAAAAGTGATGGGCGATGAATCCTTATGCAAAGGGTTTAGGGTTTAGGGTTTAGGGAAAAGGGTTAAGGGTTAAGGGTTTAGGGTTTATGGAAAAGGGTTAAGGGTTAAGGGTTTAGCGTTGAGGGTGATGTCCGCCAAACAGCACCTTTGTCTAGAACTGGCAAATGTTGGGTTTTAGCAGATCCGCAAACAGCTCCGGGATCTGATTTGCCATAGCAACATCATGTTCTACAGTAAAGGGGGGATGACATGGGGCACGCTCGCCAAATTACCACTAAGACAAGGCAGGTTACTCACAAAACTCATATGTTTTTGGAATGGACATAGAGATGTGGCCAACAGAAGCCACCCAATTCGGGGTGGGTTCTGTCGACTCTGACCTGGAACCTTGTTGCTGGCTTTTGCAGATGGCTGGCCGCTTGTTTCCATTTCACGGCTCAAGGGGGGGACCACCCCGCAAGCGAGGCCATCGCTCGAGCAAACTTGTGGCCCCGACGTGCAGCCCTCCCGATCCGGGCGGATCGGACTTTGGGAAGAACCAGGCAGTTTGGAAGACAGAACTGAAGATCCAATCTTTGAAACTGAAGATCCAGTCTTCGAGTTAAAGCCCCAAACCTCAAACCTGACCTTGAAATGTGTACCACCCTTTGCAAAAAAGCACGCCAAGACCGCTGTTTGGGCTCAGGGCCCACGGTCAAACTCCACGTTCATGAATTTCATGATGGTCTTATAGCAGAAATTCAGGGCCCTTACCTTGGTTGACGTTGGAAGGGGAGCAACAAATTAAAATTTAGCAGATAAGTGGGGATTTCCCACTAAACCACAATAAGCAAAAATGTAAAATGTTTCCCAACAACAACCATGACCCCAAGATTGTTGCCTAACTCCTAGCATTGATACTAACGCAGATCTTGAAGTGAATTCATAACCCCACGTCAGGGACAACTGACGTTCAAGGGCTCCCTGCCTGGCCGCCCTCGAGATCGGCATTTTGTCACGTGGCCACCTTGGAGATGCTTCCGAAACTCAAAGGACCTCTCTTCAAACTCAACTTGCTTTATTTGTTTGCGACCAAAATGACTTGCAAGCCTGGAAATCAAAGGTGTTCTGGCTCCTTTGTGACAATGGATCTTGAAACATTGAAGGTTGCACGGTTGCACGGTCCACTCGCTTGGGCAACTGAGTCTTAGTTCCCCTTCGCACCATCAAGCATGTAAAATGCGCCCCCCCCCCCCACCCTCCCAATTTTGGGCACATGCGCGGTTTACCTTCAAAGACCTAACAGTCTTCTTTGCAGACCCTACCAAAAACAGAGACAACCGATGGAATCAGCACCTGAAATTTGGACAACCCCACCACCACCACCACCACCACCACCACCACCAACGCCACCAACGCCACCAACGCCACCACCACCTTCCTGAGTTCGCATGTTGAATTAAGACAAAACCCTGCAACCTACCACGAAGAAATCCAGTAAGGACACTCAGGACTGGTCTTTCAAGAGTGGCGGATCGGGGCATCCACAGAATATACATAGAGGAAGAGTCTTGAGCATCACGTTCACCTAGCTTCACCATCAAGTTGCGTCTGTTGAACTAGGTTTCGCCAGATCCACCAGAATCCATTTGTCCTCTTGCGATCCGATCTCCGAGGTGAACGCACGTCGCATTCGGCTTTCCTGCTTGCCAAGCGGCCACGACCACATTCATCTGCACGCCGCCTATTGGGCAGGAGAAACCAAGGAAGCAACAACTAAAAGGAGATAATGAGTAAATGGCACTGACCTGGAAACCATCCTTTCATGGATTCCAGCACGTGTGGAGAGAGCTTGCTTCCGCCCCGCTCCTCTGCTTCGCAAAAAAAAAAGACGAGGTCACAGCGATCCGCTTCGATAATTCGATCCGAACCCAGAGGGCTCCGGCGGGACCGGAAAAAAACTGCGAGCATTGGTGTCCCTTTGGACAACTAGATGGCACTGGCAAATGTTTAGAACAAGGGAACCAGAGTGCCATCTACTTTAGAACAAACTCACCTATAAGGACACTGCCACCTACTTTAGAACAAACTCACCTATAAGGACACTGCCACCTACTTTAGAACAAACTCACCTATAAGGACACTGCCAGCTACTTTAGAACAAACTCACCTATAAGGACACTGCCACCTACTTTAGAACAAACTCACCTATAAGGACACTGCCACCTACTTTAGAACAAACTCACCTATAAGGACACTGCCATCTACTTTAGAACAAACTCACCTATAAGGACACTGCCACCTACTTTAGAACAAACTCACCTATAAGGACACTGCCATCTACTTTAGAACAAACTCACCTATAAGGACACTGCCACCTACTTTAGAACAAACTCACCTATAAGGACACTGCCACTAAGAACAAACTCACCTATAAGGACACTGCCACCTACTTTAGAACAAACTCACCTATAAGGACACTGCCACCTACTTTAGAACAAACTCACCTATAAGGACACTGCCACTACTTTAGAACAAACTCACCTATAAGGACACTGCCACCTACTTTAGAACAAACTCACCTATAAGGACACTGCCACCTACTTTAGAACAAACTCACCTATAAGGACACTGCCACCTACTTTAGAACAAACTCACCTATAAGGACACTGCCACCTACTTTAGAACAAACTCACCTACAAGGACACTGCCACCTACTTTAGAACAAACTCACCTATAAGGACACTGCCACCTACTTTAGAACAAACTCACCTATAAGGACACTGCCATCTACTTTAGAACAAACTCACCTATAAGAACACTGCCATCTACTTTAGAACAAACTCACCTAGAAGGACACTGCCACCTACTTTAGAACAAACTCACCTATAAGGACACTGCCATCTACTTTAGAACAAACTCACCTATAAGGACACTGCCACCTACTTTAGAACAAACTCACCTATAAGGACACTGCCACCTACTTTAGAACAAACTCACCTATAAGGACACTGCCATCTACTTTAGAACAAACTCACCTATAAGGACACTGCCACCTACTTTAGAACAAACTCACCTATAAGGACACTGCCACCTACTTTAGAACAAACTCACCTATAAGGACACTGTTATCTATTTTAGAACAAACTCACCTATAAGGACACTGCCACCTACTTTAGAACAAACTCACCTATAAGGACACTGCCATCTACTTTAGAACAAACTCACCTATAAGGACACTGCCATCGACTATAGAACAAACTCACCCATAAGGACACTGCCATCTACTTTAGAACAAACTCACCTATAAGGACACTGCCATCTACTTTAGAACAAGCTCACCTATAAGGACACTGCCATCTACTTTAGAACAAACTCACCTATAAGGACACTGCCACCTACTTTAGAACAAACTCGCCTATAAGGACACTGCCACCTACTTTAGAACAAACTCGCGTATAAGGACACTGCCATCTACTTTAGAACAAACTCACCTATAAGGACACTGCCACCTACTTTAGAACAAACTCACCTATAAGGAAACTGCCACCTACTTTAGAACAAACTCACCTATAGGGACACTGCCATCTACTTTATAACAAACTCACCTATAAGGACACTGCCACCTACTTTAGAACAAACTCACCTATAAGGACACTGCCACCTACTTTAGAACAAACTCACCTATAAGGACACTGCCACCTACTTTAGAACAAACTCACCTAAGGACACTGCCACCTACTTTAGAACAAACTCACCCATAAGGACACTGCCACCTACTTTAGAACAAACTCACCTATAAGGACACTGCCATCTACTTTAGAACAAACTCACCTATAAGGACACTGCCATCTATTTTAGAACAAACTCCCCTATAAGGACACTGCCATCTACTTTAGAACAAACTTACCTATAAGGACACTGCCATCTACTTTAGAACAAACTCACCTATAAGGACACTGCCACCTACTTTAGAACAAACTCACCTATAAGGACACTGCCACCTACTTTAGAACAAACTCACCTATAAGGACACTGCCATCTACTTTAGAACAAACTCACCTATAAGGACACTGCCATCTACTTTAGAACAAGCTCACCTATAAGGACACTGCCATCTACTTTAGAACAAACTCACATATAAGGACACTGCTACCTACTTTAGAACAAACTCACCTATAAGGACACTGCCACCTACTTTAGAACAAACTCACCTATAAGGACACTGCCCTCTACTTTAGAACAAACTCACCTATAAGGACACTGCCACCTACTTTAGAACAAACTCACCTATAAGGACACTGCCATCTACTTTAGAACAAACTCACCTATAAGGACACTGCCATCTACTTTAGAACAAACTCACCTATAAGGACACTGCCATCTACTTTAGAACAAACTCACATATAAGGACACTGCTACCTACTTTAGAACAAACTCACCTATAAGGACACTGCCACCTACTTTAGAACAAACTCACCTATAAGGACACTGCCCTCTACTTTAGAACAAACTCACCTATAAGGACACTGCCACCTACTTTAGAACAAACTCACCTATAAGGACACTGCCATCTACTTTAGAACAAACTCACCTATAAGGACACTGCCATCTACTTTAGAACAAACTCACCTATAAGGACAACTTTAGAACAAACTCACCTATAAGGACACTGCCACTACTTTAGAACAAACTCACCTATAAGGACACTGCCATCTACTTTAGAACAAACTCACCTATAAGGACACTGCCACCTACTTTAGAACAAACTCACTTATAAGGACACTGCCATCTACTTTAGAACAAACTCACCTATAAGCACACTGCCACCTACTTTAGAACAAACTCACCTATAAGGACACTGCCATCTACGTTAGAACAAACTCACCTATAGAACAAACTCACCTATAAGGACACTGCCATCTACTTTAGAACAAACTCACCTATAAGGACACTGCCACCTACTTTAGAACAAACTCACCTATAAGGACACTGCCACCTACTTTAGAACAAACTCACCTATAAGGACACTGCCATCTACTTTAGAACAAACTCACCTATAAGGACACTGCCACCTACTTTAGAACAAACTCACCTATAAGGACACTGCCACCTACTTTAGAAAAAAGTCACCTAAAGGACACCTATGACTGCAAGTCTCTGCAATGACCAGTTCAAGCACACACCGTCATGGGATGCAGCAAATATTGAGCAAGTCGTGGCAAGTCAGTGCAAACATATGCATGCCAAAAATCCATTGGGACGCAAGGTGCCAAACATGCTCTGACAAGATCTTTGACATACTGCAAGCAATTCACCCACCCGGGGACTCAAGTTCCATACCTCAAAACTGCGAGCTTTAGTTGGAGCTTTCATTGAACTGAAGGTCGTGTTGCCTTTCCTGCAAATCCCAAGAGCGACAGGTCTCCGGGCCTGCCAAGCACCCTTTCAGTCAAGGGTTATCTGGTGCTCGTTACAGGAAGCTTGTCCGCCGACTGCAAACGACGGTTGGACGCAAGAAACGTGGCATGCCTCCTTACCTGTTCCCTTTGGGACAAATCTGGACTTTGCACAATGCCAAACTACTGACATGTTGGATCCTTTAACCAAAAGGATATGGCCATGGGTGAAAAGCCCGTACCCGCAGTGAACATCCCAATCCCCACTAAGATAGGCTAAAATGGGTGGTGCACCTGCACCAAAATGGTACCATTTGTCTTGACCCACAGCCATCATCGTTTTGCCCCAATCGGAAATACTCAAAGACCATCTACATTTCGTGTCAGGACGACTTCAACAGTTGTTCGATCAGGTTCGGAGCCCCTCTCTCAGTGTCCACTGTGCCAATTGAACCAAAAGGGACCAACGGGTCGGCTTTGCGATCTGTGGATCCCCAACGACCTCTCCCTGGCCATCCGAAAATCGAATCGCCTCGCACGGGGGTGTCATCTGATCCACCCTCCTGAGGTGAGTAGACCTGGCGGTGGGATGCACATCGGCGAACAAGGGTTTCATTATCCCCCTCCCTTATGAGGGAGGGGGTAGGGGGACCCCCGAGTCCATTTATCTAGTCTTCCCCATGAAAGGGAAAATGGAACTATAAATGGAATTCCAGGGGTCACCCCCTCCTCCAAGTCCATTTTTAAGGGGGCGGGGATGTTTCCGTCCTATCGCGGAAAGGCGGAAAGTAATCCTCAACATCCATGAGCCACGGTCAAAATGACGTGTTTCTCCAGGGCATGGACAAATGCGCGAGCTGGTTTGCTGGGAATCAAGCAAATTTTCTCATGTCCCTTCCAAACGGACTAGACTGGAACTTCTGACAAGGCCGCATATGGTTGTGCAGCATTGTCGGTTTTTGGTTGCCACAGTCTGTGATACCAACGGAATGCCCTCAAAGTGATCAAGGTCGTCATGGGAATATCCGATGCTGAAAAGCCACAAAACGGGGGTCAGTTTGCTCTCCCATCAGTTTGCCACTTGCTTTGTCTCTGGTACTTAGTTGGCCCGCTGGTGCTAGGCTTGGCCAAAGAGATGACCCGCTGGCGCCATAGACTTCCGTCAACGCCGTGGGTGACTCATGACCCCCGATGAATCAACCTGGAAGCTTCATCCGCTAAAGTTTTCAGCTTTTCCTTGGGACCCGGGGCTACCTGGTCCAATGGTTGGCACCTTGCGGGTAGCCACATAAGCCTGCGTCTCACAGCGCAAATGAGTGTCTCCTCTGTTTTTTTGTGTTGTTTGTTTGTCGTTTTTTTTTTTTCTCCTTTTCTTTTCTGGGCAATTGAGTGGGCCTCCCGTGTCCCTCCTAAACGAACCAAAGCCTAGTGGAAATGTCAAGCACACCTCGGATGAAGCTATCTACAGACATTTGGGTATGGGTCAAAATTAAACCACCAGGGGACCGCAGAGTTTAGTCCATGTTTCCATTTACCAGGGTTGCATTTTGACTCCCAGCCATTTATCTACTGTCAAGTAAATTGGATGACATGGGCCCCTCGCGAACCATGGCATTGCCTCTGCACGGCGTGGTGGACAAGCCCCAGGAGTTTGGAATTTGTGTCTAGACTCGTAAGAAGAGACGGACACGTAGAAAAGCGGAACGTAAACTAGAGGTGCACTGTGCACCTGACTTCCGTCCATCGACAACAGGTGGGCAGTTCATCTTTTTGTGGAGTTGCTACCCCTTCTTCTCAAGGGAAACTAAGAGGAAAGCCATTTTATTTGTGTATGTTTGTTTCTTTTGTTCTGGGGGGGTCTTAAATAAGTTTAGGTGATATTCTCAACAGTATGCGGTGCTCTTTTTAGTCGTGCAACCCTGGTGAAAACCCTGGTGGAACCCTCATGGAACCTTACCTCAGGGCCGCCCCGGACCACCCCGGAGCCTATCTGGGCTGAGACCCCAAAGCTTTCAGCTCTTGGGGAAAAAAGACACACCCAAGTGGGCCCTTTATCCTATTTGCCCTTTACCTCTTACCTTGCGGCCGAATGCCAGACTTGTTCCAAGCGCCAACAAAATCAAGGGCGGTTTGCCGTACTGAGTGCGTGGTTTGCTTTCACTATTCAGAATCCAGAATGCAATAACAAAGACAGGCACCCCCATATGGTTGCCTTCTTTGTTTGGGATAACCACTACCTTTGGAGTGGTTTTGAAGAGAAACCAAAAGGGTATTAACTATCCTTGGTGTCCCCAATTTTAAAGACACGCCCGTCAGGCAACATCTTCGAGTCTCCCCCTGCCCCCGGCCTTGCGAGGCATAAAGGTAAACTCTCGGTGCGCCTTGTGTTGAGCCTGGCGCGATAACTGTGTGGTTCTACGCAAGCAAGGCATCATCTGAAACAACCCTCATGTAAGGAAATCTTCTTTATGGGGGGTTCCTTTGTGCAATTTCCAGTCTGTCCAAGTCGAATAACCTACGCACCCAACGGCAACCCAAGGCCAAACAAGAATACTTTTCACGCTTGTGAATTCCTAGCCTGCTTGCTGTGCAGGTACGGAGCATTTCGGGCAAACAAGCTGGGAATAGGTCCCCAAGCATCAGCGGATTCGCTGCTGCCGTGGCCGAATAACTAACAGCACGCATGTCAATCAACATACCCTCACAAACACGTTGTTGTCAGCAGGTCTGACATGTGTAGATAAAATAAAAGATGTCACGGCCAAAGCGCCACATGGCAGAAACAATCAAGACAGTCGTGTTAAAAATGCGTGTTTTAAAGATGCGTGTTGCCGGCACAAGCGACCCTAACAGACGACATGAACATATCAAACGCACAACGACACAACATGCATGCACATGAATGCGCGCGCACACACACACACACACACGTGCACAGACAGAGGTACTCGCGCAGCGTGACAAACAAACACACACACACACACACACACCACACACACACACACACACACAGTCTCACACAGTCTCACACACACACACACACACACGCGACGCACATAGCACGCACAGACACACACAGAGCACTTATTATATAAAACATATATATATATATATAGCACAGTTACACCCACACCCACACGCACGCGCATACGCGCGCACACACGCAGGCGCATACGCACCAGACAATCACGCACCCACGCACCCACGCACGCGCGCGCAAAAAACACACACACAGACAGACAGACAGACAGACAAACTCACGTGCAAACAAGCCTCCATTTTAGGCACGACATAGCAGGAACAGCTGTATGTGCAAGTCCTAAGTGCATATGGATGCGCAAGACTTTGTGCAACTGGGCACACTACACATATAAAAGCAGACGCTCGTGACAGATTCACGAGACACATGCAATTACAAGGTTGGCTAACAAATCAAGACACTTGGCGAATCTAGGTTCATGCTTCTGGCGGAAAGACATCTTTGGACTGTCTCAACAGTCATCAGGGATGCGGAATGAAGACCTAGCCATGACAGATTCTTCGCCAGGAAGCTTTCTTGTATCACAGAAGGAGCAATCCGACAAAACCCGCCAACAACGTGGACACCAAAGGCTCACCAAGAAAAACCCAAACAGACGTTTCTCGGGCCATATGCCCTTTCTTTGCATAGTTGACTTCAACCAGACCCCCTCCAAAGAAAACCCAAAGAAAATCAAGAGCAAAAAGGGAACGCCCCCGAGGCCTAGGGAAACCTCAACTGAAGAACACCAAACTGCATGTTTTTTGTAGGCGATATTTGGAGAACCTTTCACGTGCCCAAAAAAAATGGCATTCTTTTGGCTTCCCTCCGAATCCCAGGAAGACTACGGGCCTTCTCGATGGCATCCAAGGCGATGGACGCAGTTTGCGCGCCCTGGAACTCCAGCAGGACCTGCGGAAAAACACGGCCCCATCCCCTGATCCCTCTGGTCCCTTTCTGTATGAATGGTGGGATAATCCGCCTATTGCCTTTCGATAGATGTGTTGAAAAACCGCTTCCACGCGTACCCCCCAAAAACGGCAGGCTGTACGACAGGTAGCAACCTCCTCCAGCTTTGCAACTGCCGGTGAATGGCGCTGTGGAATTTCGTTCACCAGGAGTCTTCAAGGTTGCTTAAGGAGATGAAAGGAAAGCCACCATTTTTGTGGCCCCTCGGTTTTCTCAAAACAGGGCTTTGTGCCGCTTATATGTTGGGGGGCTTGAACCCTCTGACAGCCGGAGCAAACATGGGCGCAAACCAAAAAGAATTAAATCGGATACCACCGGAGGAAGGGCCTAAAGGCTATTTGTTCAGCATCGGAAGGTTTCGCAAAACACACACTCTCTCTCACACACACACACATGCATACACAAACACATACGCACGCAACTACCCAGCCAAATAAACAATCAAAGCAAACCAAACCAATGTGCATTACTAAGCATCGGGCTTTTCCTTGGGCAAAAACGGCTTCCGTTGTTGGGTTCGCGCACTTCTCCCAGGTCCATGCCTTGGTGGCACGCACCTGCCAAGTCCAAAAGGCCTCTGTTCGGCTTCGTGGGCCTTTGGCCCTCCCAAAATGCCTGTGCCAGGATGAAGCCGTCATTCTTTATCTCATAGGTCACCACGTCGCACCACCCTCAAAGAAGCAGCAGCGGCGTGTCGTCAAGCGGAAGAGGCCTGAAGTCTACACCAATGCATCGTTCTCTCCTTGCGGTGGTCTCAGCCATGATTCAGTAGCCGTGCTATGGAACGGCGTGGCAAAGTTTCCCACTATGAGCGCTGCTGAATCTGAGTTGGCGGAATGCCTGGGGGGAGAGGAAGCGGCTGGCAACAACTACGTGAGGCAGTTGCTGATGCAGTGGTAGCTGGCGAGCGCGACACCTTAGGGTGAGGGCATTCAACCTCACATAAAGGTTGGAAGATCAGAGTTGGACCATCCACCATGTGCCGGAGTTCGCACGTTGGCCGACCTGGGCACGAAAAGGATGGAAGAGTTAAGGCGGCTTTGGAAGCTGGAGCAGCTCGACCAGTGGCAGGTGGGCGTGCGGGGACATTGAGAAGGTCAGAGGAGTTCAATGGCAAGAACACTCCAGGAATGATCAAGGTGATAAGCATAGCAATCCTGATGTCGATCGTCTTGTTCAAGCTGGATGAGATGGTGTGTGCCAGGTAATCGCATGAGGGCTATGAGGGCTCGAGGGCTTGGTGCTGATCTCATCGCCCTTACTCGTGGGATGTCGTTGTGATCCTCTTGACCACCCATGATTCGCCACCCGTTCGGATCCGCGATGGACTGCTCCATCCAGAAGATTTGATTTCTCCTTCGCCACCGCCAGGTCCGAACCTTCTCGTCCCGGAACACGGCCCACCTTCTTGGACACTCTCGGAGTCCGTACAAGGCTCGCTCAACAGCCCAGTACTTATCCGGCTTGCAGAATCGGTGGTCTCATCAGCAGGATCTTCTTTTGCTTGTGAGAATGCTGTCTTGATGTCGAGCACAACTCCTTCCGCGCATTTGGTCGCAGTTCTGATTGACATCCTCATTCCGGCACGTGCTGCGGGGCGTCTGGCTGCTTCACCACCTCCGTCGTCACCACTCCGCGAAGCCCCTTCTGCTTCCTGCCTTCCTCTGCCGCAGTAGAGCATGATCATGCAGTACACGAGGACGTCATCCTCCCAGACCTGGCGCCTTTCTTCATCATCCAATCCAGGTAAAACCACCAGTGTTCCGGCGCTGCGCTACAAACAGGTCTCCCTGCCGACAGTGCATGTCGCAATACGCTCCTCGTGCGGCAAGTCGGTCCTCCCACAACTCCAAGCACCAGACCATTCAGAGCCACACCCATCAAGGATGCGCACACCTCGTCCTTCAACATGTCGTGGTCCGCTCCTCTCTTAAGGTTCTTAAAGTCGATCTCCACCAACCTCGTCTTGTCGCCTCCAGCCTCCTTGAGGGCTCGACCAAGGGTGTAGCCTTCACCCTCCCCGGCGTACAAGTGGACCGCAAAACTAATTTTCCTTCTCCTGGACCGGTTCATCCCGATCCCACTCAAGTCATTGGCCGGCAAAAGCACCTTCTTCATTCATTACCTCGCCCGTCAAAGACTTTCTCCTGCTTGATCAAGTTCAACACCTGGTCCTCCTTGGTCATCTCGCTCATCCTGGCGTCCTCTCCCACCTCGAGCTATCAAGGTGAGAGCCACGCCTTTCTCCACCTGCGAGCAACCCACGTTTGTTTGAACTGGGCTTCGTCCATGTCGATCACACCCCAACTTCTCAATGAGCAGGCCCAGGGGCACGATGCCACTGCTCCATCTTCGTGGGTGATGACCTTTCGAGACGTCATCAAGACCTCTTTCTCACCTGGTCTTCTCCAGATTCGCCACATCATCCCTTGGACGGGCACCTCTCATTGAGTGCGTCGCCCCTGAGTCCAGCAACCCGTATTCCTGCTGGTTGTCGATCTTCGACACCTTGGCAAACCTCAAGGCTCTAATCTTCCGCGCCTGGTCGAGCTGCTTCTGGAGATCGTTCAGCCGATCGTCTCGTTCTCTGCGATCCGTCGACGCCGATGCCTTGATGTTGAGGGACCTCAGCATCTTTCCGGCCTCTTCCAAGACCGATTGCAGACCATCCCCTTCACTTCCGTCATCCGTCCTTAGCATTCTTGGCGTTCCCCTTCAAGGTTGCGTATCTCATCCTTGATGGTTGACCTCCGCCCTGTCCACCTCCAGTCCAGCCCCCTCAAACTTCTTGACCTTGTCCGGAGCCTTCAAAACCTTCTTCTCCGTGTGAACCAGCTGCTCCAGCTCCGACAAGAGGTGCTCGCAGTACGTGCTGATGGTGCTGTAGTTTGGCACCGTGTCCACCTGCAAAATCGATCTCGCCAGGCTGATCTTGAAGCTCAGATCCCCATTGGTCTCCAGCACCTTCTTCGTCAACCTGTGCAGCCCTCTACTCACGACCGACGGGTCCGGGAGAGAAACTCCTTTCCTCCGCTCTCCTCCTCCATCGAAGCCACCGCCTTCCTTGGACCGCCGCCTGAATGTTCATCGCCTCCTGTGGCTGCTCGAGGTTCTTGAGGATGGCCGACCTCTCAGCCACCCCACCTGGCTGACACAACAGCATCAGCCTGCAAACCGTCGCTATCAGCTCCTCCTTCACTTGATCCGGCAGGGCCTTCATGAGCAAAATCACCGCCCGACGCTACCCGCCTGCATCGACCATTGCTCACCTCACTTCTGCAGCAACTCCGAAAGAAAGGTCCGCCATCACCGCACCTACCATCGTCAGCCAGCGCATGGGGCCTGTGTCTCTGGCTGCATCGTCCACCGCCGACCTCCGCATTTTTCTCTTCACCTGCGTGACCACACCAGCATTCAGGATCCTCTCCTGAATTTGCTGCATCCCTTCCATGAGCTTCAGGATGATGTTGAGCTGGGCATTCTCATCCAGGGTTTGATCGTCTCTGATCAGCTCCTCTGACGATTCTGGCCCTTGTTCTCGTCCTTGTTTCTCAGGTTCACCTTCACGACGTCCTGGGTTGGGTACTTGTCCAGCTCCCCGTTTCTCCACTCCACATCCAGTGCCACATAGGTCTCCTGAGACTGGTTGACCTTCCTGAGTCTGTCGTTCTCGGCTCTGACGTTGAATCGCCTTTTTCTGGTCCCGCGTGAAGTGTCGTCTCTTCTCTCCAGGAACTCCGGCCTTGTCAGCGCTGGCTTCTGCGTTGCTGTCACCAAGCTCAAAATCACTAGGCCTCCAGGCCTTTGCCAAGGGCGGTCCATACACCACCGGTTCTCCTTCAAGTTCCCCCTCCACCTCTGTGGTTCCCCTTGTCCTTCGTCAGGATCCGCGGGTGATGCCCAGAGGTTCCTCGACGCCGAAGCTTGGCCCCAACGTGGTACCTTCCGATCGCCGTGGTGCCGGTGTCCTTGACGTGCTCGCGTTGTGGCGAGTCACCATTTCTTGGCCCACCAACTCTGGACCTCGGTCCACCAGCGACGCGGCTGCGCTTCATCGGTGGCCTGGTCGACGTCCATCAGCGGCAGAGGCTCCAGGATGTTCTTGCCCTCCAGGGCCACGGCCCTTGCCATTGCGGCGCCCAGAACCTACTAATCATCGGGCTTTTCCTTAGGCAAAACGGCTTCCGTTGTCGGGTTCGCGCATAAATGATGAACTTTAAATCGACCAATCCCCGTCTAAGACGGCTCCAAATTCAAAGGCTCAGCTGCCTGTCACATCTCTCTGTCACAGGTTCTTCAAGGAAGAAGCCTTCTTCAAAGAGATGAATAGCCAGAGAAGTGGGCACAGGACACAACAAAGAAGTAAATATCATTTGCAGTTAAAATTGAACAGCCAAAAAAATCCGGATGGGGAGCAAGCAAGCAAGCAAGCAAGCAAGCAAGCAAGCAAGCAAGCAAGCAAGCAAGCAAGCAAGCAAGCAAGCAAGCAAGCAAGCAAGCAAGCAAGCAAGCAAGCAAGCAAGCAAGCAAGCAAGCAAGCAAAAGAAGCCAGAAGCAAACACCAAACCAAAAAGAGGTAACAAACAAACAAGCAAACCAAGCCAGACCAGACCAGAACAAGCCAAACAAACAACACAAAAAACAAAACAAAAAGAAACAAAAACAAAAAACAAGCAATGAAACAAAAAAACACAAACAACAACAAGCAAAAACAAACAAACAAACAAAAACGAAAAACCAACAAAGACAAACAAACAAACAAACAAACAAACAAACAAACAAACAAACAAACAAACAAACAAACAAAGCAAAGAAACACACAAACAAACCAACCAACCAACAAACAAACAAACAAACAAACAAAACAAAACAAAACAAAACAAACAAAACAAACAAAACAAACAAAACCAACCAAACAAAACAAAACAAAACAAAACCGACAAACACACAAACAAACAAACAAACAAACAAAAAAACAAACAAACAAACCAACAAACCAACAAACCAACAAACCAACAAACCAACAAACGAACGATCAAACAAACCAACCAACCAACAAACCAGCCAACCAACCAACCAACAAACAAACAAGTCAGACAAGCAAACAAACAAACGACGAGAAACAAAGAGACGAAGAGACGCGAAGAAGAACACAAAGAAGAAAAAACAGAAAAAAAAAGCAACAAAATAGAACAAAGGAAGAAAAACAAAGGCAAAAAAAAAGAAACAAAAGAAAACAAGAAAACAACACAAATGAAAAAAACAACAGGAAACAAAGGAAACAAAGGAAACAACGGAAACAAAGGAAACAAAGGAAACAAAGGAAACAAAGGACACAAAGGACACAAAGGACACAAAGGACACAAAGGACACAAAGGACACAAAGGACACAAAGGACACAAAGAACACAAAAGACACAAAAGACACAAAAACACACAAAAGACACACAAAAGACACACACAAAAGACAAACACAAAAGACAGACACAAAAGACAAACACAAAAGACAAACACAAAAGACAAACACAAAAGACAGACACAAAAAACAGACACAAAAGACAGACACAAAAGACAGACACAAAAGACAGACACAAAAGAAAGACACAAAAGAAAGACACAAAAGAAAAGACACAAAAGAAAAGACACAAAAGAAAAGACACAAAAGAAAAGACACAAAAGAAAAGACACAAAAGAAAAGACACAAACAAAAGACACACACAAAAGACACAAACAAAAGACACAAACAAAAGACACACACAAAAGACAAACACAAAAGACACAAACAAAAGAAAAGACACACACAAAAGACACAAACAAAAGAAAAGACACAAACAAAAGACACAAACAAAAGAAAAGACACAAACAAAAGACACAAACAAAAGAAAAGACACAAACAAAAGAAAAGACACAAACAAAAGAAAAGACACAAACAAAAGAAAAGACACAAACAAAAGAAAAGACACAAACAAAAGAAAAGACACAAACAAAAGAAAAGACACAAACAAAAGAAAAGACACAAACAAAAGAAAAGACACAAACAAAAGAAAAGACACAAACAAAAGACACAAACAAAAGAAAAGACACAAACAACAGAAAAGACACACACAAAAGAAAAGACACAAACAAAAGAAAAGACACAAACAAAAGAAAAGACACAAACAAAAGAAAAGACAGACACAAAAGAAAAGACAGACACAAAAGAAAAGACACAAAAGAAACGACACAAAAGGAAAGACACAAAAGAAAAGACACAAAAGAAACGACACAAAAGAAACGACACAAAAGGAACGACACAAAAGGAACGACACAAAAGGAACGACACAAAAGGAACGACACAAAAGGAAAGACACAAAAGGAAAGACACAAAAGAAAAGACACAAAAGAAAAGACACAAAAGAAAAGACACAAAAGAAAAGACACAAAAGAAAAGACACAAAAGAAAAGACACAAAAGAAAAGACACAAAAGAAAAGACACAAAAGAAAAGACACAAAAGAAAAGACACAAAAGAAAAGAAAAGACACAAAAGAAAAGACACAAAAGAAAAGACACAAAAGAAAAGACACAAAAGAAAAGACACAAAAGAAAAGACACAAAAGAAAAGACACAAAAGAAAAGACACAAAAGAAAAGACACAAAAGAAAAGACACAAAAGAAAAGACACAAAAGAAAAGACACAAAAGAAAAGACACAAAAGAAAAGACACAAAAGAAAAGACACAAAAGAAAAGACACAAAAGAAAAGACACAAAAGAAAAGACACAAAAGAAAAGACACAAAAGAAAAGACACAAAAAAAAGACACAAAAGAAAAGACACAAAAGAAAAGACACACAAGACACAACAGACACAAAAGACACAAAAGACACAAAAGACACAAAAGACACAAAAGACACAAAAGACACAAAAGACACAAAAGACACAAAAGACACAAAAGACGGATCAGGCTGCGGTCGAACCACCAGGGTTTGCGTCTGCAAGGTCACACCTCGAGATTGCAACGCCTGACCCATTAGGCAACTAATCCTTAATTCCTCTATGTTGTCTTTCTTTGTTTTTTTCTTTCCTTCTCTTCTTGTCTCTCTTTCTTCTCTCTTTCTTTCTTCCTTCTTTCTTCTCTCTTTCTTCTCTCTTTCTCCTCTTTCTTGTCTCTCTCTCTCTCTCTTTCTTCTCTTAACTTGGTCCCCCCACACCCCAAAAACAGCCAAAGCAAAAAGAGAAGCACACAAAGCGCACAAAACCAAAACGCCCACACGCAGAAAGCAAGGCACACAAGAGTCACGAACCAAAAACACGACCCCCTTCCGAAAAACCGAAAAAAACACATATAGAAAAACAGCAGCTCGGACAACAGAGACCAAACCGCCGGGGGGGGGAGGTGGGAGAGAATGCCAGAACCCCCCCTCCAAAGAACAGAACAAGACATGTACAGCTCTCCAAGTGCCCAGGCGGAGCGCTGCAAGTTGTTGCCGGCCACGTCCACGAACTTGCTCATGATCTGGCATCATGTTAGGCTCGTCGCAGGTGATGAGTTTGGTGGGCTTCCTGGGATCTGCATCGGAAATCCGTCGAAAATACAAGAAGTTGACCCAATCCGACTTGCTATCAAAAGAAAGAAAAAACGCTTTTTGCGGTCCCAACCCCCTGTAGGTAATATTTTGGGTCGCTTTTACAGGAGTGTTGTTTCCGGATGTGTGACTGCTTCGAGGGTTGCTATACTATAAAGGAAAGTGTTTTCGCGGAAAAATGACCGAGCCTTGCTTTTAAAAGGGCGCTTTATCTAAGCCCTTCCCTCTAAAGGCCTTGTTTAGATTTAGGACTTTTTGGCTTTGAAGTGGTCCCAAAGCATGGATTTTTGTACAAGTCCCTCAAAAAACAAAAGGCCAAGCAGTCACGCAAAAAGGGTACACCACAAGAGCCCTGATCCTCCATCATCTGACTGTGTTGGGCTCCGCAGAATGTCAAGCTTTGGGTGAGTGTGAAACTCCAAGATCCTTAGCCTTGAGCTTTTAAAGGCTGGTGTATTTGAGATCTGGAAATCTGAGACTATGTCTTGGCACTAATTAGAATTGGCCATAGATGAAGTAAGAGGAATCTGAGATCAAGTCGGCAAGACGAAACGTACGAGGAATCTGAGCGTAAGTCTTGGCAAGACTACATTTCGCCTTGGCAAAACAAAATTATCGACTCGACGTCCAACCAAAATACCGAAGTTACTGCGCGCAACATGCGCGCGACGCGGGGCGGAGGCTTCAAGGCTTTGGCAAGAAGTCTTGGCATCGCTTCCATTTGCTTAAGCCCCCTGGAATCAATGAAACAATATTTCCAGTAGTCATAGATTCCCTTTAACACCAACAGGGGAAGATAAAAACATGAACATATTCGGCAAATGGAAGACTGCGTCCACTCGGCATGGACAGCGGGTCCGTCCGCTCCGACGCCGAATTTGCACGCTCCTTTCCACAAGCTGTCGAAGGTCCGGCTCAGTTTCTGGTGCCACTAAAGGGGCTTCAAATGACTGTTACGAGCCACAATCAAAACCCGGTATGGGTGTGGGTCAAAATTAAACCACTAGGCTTTAGTCCATGTTTCCATTTACCAAGGTATCAAAACACAATCAAAACCCGGTATTAAAACGGTCTACCCAGAACCATGTACAGAATTAAGAAGGGCGGAATCCCGCAACTATTTCCGGCTGGGGCTGCCCCTTACTAACCTTCATCTACCCAGGTTTTGATTGTGGCTCAAATGACTGTTGGCGCTGTCCCGGAAAAGGGGGGGTGGGGCGCCCAAAAAAGAAGCAGAAGTCCACACGATGAAATTTTAGTCGCTGACATTTCGGTAGAAGCTTCCATGTGTATTCCCACCATGCAAAATCGCAGCCATGTCTTCCTCAGCTTTTGCTTTCGCGCCAAAACAAGGTCAATCCTGACTGTGAACCTGAACAATGTACAAAATGTACAACAGGCAAAAGAGAGATCCTGGTGGAACAGCAAAGCAATTCCGTCTTGGTCAAATATGGACCCATCTCCATTTCCGAAAGCCGCGTTGCGGGCACCGAAACGAGTGGCCGTCTTCCTTTCGGCGGCCCTTTGAACCAACCTGAAAACCCGCCAGTGGTACTCGGTGGCTTGTTGCTCCCCTGCTAAAAGTTTAACTTCTAGTTCTGTTTAATACGGAAAACCAATGAGTTGGCAAAAAGTTGTAGAGTCCCTTGGCAACACGCACCTCTCAACATTTACCCACAAGGTTTTGAAGAACCTAGTTCCACCCCCCCCGCTTTCTCGAAGTCAATTCCTCAACCTGCCAGTGGCACTCGCCTTCCCCCCCCACCTCCCGAGGCCCTCCCGAGCGTCCCGGGCGTCCCGGGGCTCCGGGCGGCACTGCCCAGCTTCGAGGAGTTGGTCTGCTTGGAGATGCGCATCGCCTGGCAAACGAAGACCAATTCTGCTTGCGGAAAGGCCTTCGAAGGCGCTCGCTTTCGGAGGGCCTTCGAAAAAGAAATTATCCCGTGCGTGCGAGAGCCGTTTGGGGCTCTTTTTTTGTGGGCCAAAAATGGATCGCCAAGATCCATCCCCCCCCCCCCAAAAAAAAAAAGGACCTCCGTTTGTGGTTTTGTGGCAAATAGATCGTCAATCCATCCCCCCCGAAAAAGGACCCCCGTTTGTTGATGTTCTGTTTTTTAGATCGCCATTGTTTGCTCTTGCGTGCGCTCCATGCCCCCCCCCCAAAAAAAAAATAACGACCGATTAAAATGTCAAAGGTCATCCTGTGTTGGATAAACTTGTGGCGGAAAAAAAACCGCTTGGCCCAACTCCTCGAGCCTCACCTCCCAGGTTGACCTTTGCTCTCCTCAGATGCCCGGTGGATTTCCATGGGGAAAAAGAATGGGCATCTGTTTTTTTGGTTTGGTTGGGTTTAAGGGGGAAGCCTTCCCAAAAAAAAGGAAAAAAAGGCGCCACCGGGCAACTGGGTCTCTCTCTCTCTCTAGCAAACTTCCGTTTCTCTGTTGGTTGCCGCCCTGCCAAGAGTCATGAAAGCGGACGATCGGGTTTTGGAAGACTCCTTTCCATTTGGACAAGGTGCCGATGCACTTCCTTGTTTCTAGGCTGGAATTAGGACCCCAGCAAATAGATATATTTTTTGCTGGTTAGGGGAAAACAAAGGCACCCCAAAAAAGCCAAAAAGCAAAAAGGGGAGCTAATTCTGGGGGAGGTTTGTTGAAAGTGAAAGGGCAACACGTCTGGGTTCATGACGATAACTCACCGGCCGAACTCGGGCTTGCCAATGAAGATTGCTGCCAATGAGACGCTACCCTTGAAAGCTGGGTGAATTATATTTCCTAGGTCGTCAGGTCCGTATTATATGTCCCATTATATTTCTTGATTCGAGAATCCCAGGAAGACTCTAAATCCAAAAACCTGAGCACCATTCCATTCAGCTCCCTGGACTTCCGGAGAGCCCTCGAATTTCCTCGCTACCAGTTCAACTTTTTGGGGGGTTAGTGGAAACACCTGTATTTCCCAAAAAGTTAAAGTTTAAAGATCCAACCCAATAGCAGTCAAGATGTTCAGTCGCTCCAAAAGGTGAACTGTCCTTCTTCAAGAGATGCCGGTGCGAGTTTCAGCGACGGTCCAGTTTTTTGTTTTTCTCGGTTGTGTGGGGGTCAGCAAGGGTGAGATTTCCCAGCGTCAAGAACGAGCAGATTTCGGCAAGAGCAGGGACGGCTGGGTGCGACGAGAAGGAGAATGGTTTTCCTGAAACGAGGGTGCGGTTCTTCAAGCTAAAACTGTCATGATCATAAGATAATTTTGCACCTTCTGGTCATGTCTCTTGGGGTATCATGTTTATTTACTTTGCATTTTGAGCGTTAATTAAAAAAGACATGCCCTCCAAAAATGACATGCCATTTTTATACCCCTAAAAATACCTATACCCCTAAGAAAATGACCTGCCCTCGAAAAAGGGCGTGACAGGTCCGTGGGCTCCTCCCTGGGCCTTCTTGAGACTGGTGCGTTTCGTCGGAGAGCCGGTCCATTTGGGATGGATGTTACCCCAAGGAGACAAGTATAGGGGCCAGACTGAGCTTTTTGGATTGAATTCGTTTCAAAATAGTTTTCCACTTAGCCTCTACAAGAACTAACCACCAAGCCAAACCACTTGGGGGGTGATAACAAATATACTGCCCTTTTTGGGGGGATGATATCCTACCCTTTTTGGGCAAAAAAAGAACAAGGAGACCTGGTCGCCCGGCTTCGGCCTCGGGCTGTTGGTCCTGTGCTGGCCGGAAGTGCTGCAACACCCGCAGCCTGGCGACGCGGTTCGGGGACTTCGCCCCGTGAAACCCATCGAAGGAACAAGTTGCCAGACATGCGTGGACAAAGCTGGCGCTTGAAACCAAAATTATCGGGGAAGTTGGGCGAAACTCCAAACTTTCAAACCTGAGGGAAAGTAACAAAGGTCACTTTCGGGGTCGCAGGGAAGGGAAGCAGATGGAAGCAGATGGAAAGCTCAAACTTGGCCTGGGGTCCACAGCAAACCATATTGTCAGATCCTGAACCATATATCCAGTCTACCGTAAGCCATAAACCCTATTTGTTGAGCAGACAACCGCAAAAAAACAGACACCCGCTTTTAACCGCCCCCAAAAACCGCAACTGCACCGTCTCCTTCGCAAAAACCCGCGTAGCCCTCGCGCGAGCCCGCCTCATATTCCGGTCCCTGCGGCGCAGGAGGACCTGAGCCTGGCGGAAAGTCCATCTGTCTGCAGGGAAGAGCCTAGGCCGTACTGTAGCTGGGGCTCCAGTAGAGAGGTTAGGGTTTAGAGTACCCTATGTGTTTTCTGTCTGTCTGTCTGCTACGTGCGTAGGCGAGAGCTTGGAATAAGGGTACCCAAATGTCTTTCTGTAGTCGATTTTTGTAGGGGAACCCTCCCAACCAAAAAAGGGTGAGAAAGGGCGCTACTGGGAAACCTAGGTAGTGTGGTGTAATGCAACGCGATGCGATGTGATGCAAATATCATGTCTCTCTGTGCGTCTGCATTTCTGTGCGTCTGTATGTCTGTGCGTCGGTGCGTCTGTGCGTCTCCGTGTCTTGCATGCGTGCATACATGGATGGGATGGGATGGGATGGGACGGGACGGGATGAGATGGGAAGGAATGGGAATGGGAATGGGAAGGGAATGGGAATGGAAATGGGAATGGGAATGGGAATGGGAATGGGAATGGGAATGGGAATGGGAATGGGATGGCTGGCTGGGTACATGTGTATATATATATATATGTGTGTATACATATCTTAGACATATATATATATATATATATACACGTGTGTAGAGGCTTCCAAAAGGGCGCTGTGCATCTCCATACTTGTTCGTAAGAGGGCAGGTGACGGCCAGCCAGGCAGACAAACAAAGAAAGAGACAGACAGGCCAACCTGACCGGGGAAAAGCAAACGGATTTGACTGAGATCCAAAATGCCTGATAATAATAATAAAGCGGGCTTGATCCATCAGTGCACATCCAGGCTGGTGCTGGTGATGATCATGTTTACGACCATGATGACTGGGTCCTCCAGTAGAGAGGTTAGAATAAGGGTGCCGATTTCTTTCTGTAGTCTATTTTAGGGGGACCCTCCCAACCAAAAAGGGGTGAGAAGGGCGCTACTGGGGGACCTAGAAAACCAGAAGGACAACAATCAAACAACAAGTAAAACCCCGTGTGCATCATTGCCAGATGTGTCCACACATCACACAAAACCAATGCTAGCCTCCGCTCTGCATTGGTGTGCAAGCGCAAAATGATTCAAAGCCTGGCTTCCGAGAGATTCTCGGGTTGTCCAACCTTTTGAAGTATGGATTGATGGGTTTGACAACTTTGGCACCGCGAGCAAATGCGGAAACCAGCACGAATCACGTCCGTCTCGGAGGAGCTTGACCGGCAAGCGCTACCGAATCCCGACGGAACACGCGCAACAGCTGCCCTCGTTGCCTAGTGGCACCAAGCCTCGAAACACGCTCGAAGGGAGGGAACTAGTCAAAGAAGTATGGACAAAATGAAAGGCTATGCATCAAAACGGAGGCGGCTTTTATGGGGGAGGACAGCTTTTTTAATGGAAAACAACGCGGATATGAATTGAATTCGGGACCCTGTGGTTGTATCAACCATTGGAAGGCTGCTCCAAAAACTCAAATTCGACCAATCGGAAAGTCCGAATCTTGACACATCCACGCATCCCGCACGACCATGCCACTTTGGAATCATGCCAGTGCGAGCAGCGGGGCGGAAATTCGAAGGGAGATCGGCGATGGCGTACCTGGCGGCAAAGGCCACGAGGATTTGTGCGGCAGCTTCAAGAGCGGCAGCTTGGCTTTCGCGGGGGCATTTGGAGGCCCTCCGTGTCCTCCCCAAAGCAACAATAGTGTCAGTGACTCAAGGGGCCAGAACAGTCTGGAAGTCTGTCACAGCTCTGTTAGACAACCAAACGGGAACCCAACCCCAGGAGGGGGGGAGGTGTTGAGCTTGTTGTTTAAATATATATATATATAAAATAGAATAAAACTAAAATATAAAAAAGGGGGCGGGGTTGGGGTTTGGTGGTTTCCTTCACCTGAAGCTCGAGCCCGGAGCCCGGTTTTCGGCGTCCGGTGGCACATCAAGGTGCTCCGGTTGGACGGGCTCTTGAGAACCAGGTCCACCGCCTTCGAATTCCCGCGAAGGGGCGGCTGAATGACGAGGGACCCCTAAGGCGCCACCAAAACGCCCATCTTCCATCTTCCGGAAAGGATCCATTTGGCTGTGGGTCAAAACCGTTTTGGGATCCCATTTTGGGGAAGGTGCATTTTAGTCGGGATTTTAGCGGGGATTGGGATGTTCACTAGGGGTACGGGATTTTGACCCATGTCCATTTGGGTACGGGTCAAAAGTAGACCCCCAGAAACAGCCGCAGGTTCAGTCATTGGTTCCATTAGCAGGGATAAAGTTGGGGCACCTATTTTTGACCCACAGCCCTTTGTCGTAGTCCTCTTGAAAGAGGGCAGTTCATCGTGGACCTTTCTTGTGGTCGAAGGGCTTTTTTGGGTGGTTGGCCCAACTACGCATATTTACACAAAAGCATCCTTAGATCTGGAGGGGCCAACCCATAAATGGAGTATATGATGGGCATGCAAGCTTTGCATAAGGGTATCTCATACCACATACCCCAATACTGAACAGTCTCATTACTGCATTACAGGGATCCTTACATTATACACCTGAACATTGCCTTGGAAATGCTGGTTTCCCTCTATTTTGGTGGAAAAAGCCATGTTTCAAATGGGCAATATGTATCCTTTAAGGAGCCCCGTCTTACTTGGACCGTTTGGTGGACATGCTCCGAACCACCCCAAAGGGAGCTAGGCCTGGGCCTATCGACCACATAGCTTTCAGCTGGGGACCAAAAAGGAAACAACCCCCAGAAGTACAAGGCCTCGGAGTTCGGAATGGGTTCTACTGCCCAGATTGTCAGATCTCAAAAACCTCCATCCGTAGCTCCTTTTGGGCAAGTGATTTGGTTCCTTCCGTTCATTTGGACCCAACAAAAAGCAATGCGCGGCATAGGGAAAGGCCTCGGAAAGGATCCTGCTAGCAAAAAAGAAGCTGTTGTAAAGGTTCATACGGACATATGCGGATTCATACGCAATCAAGGCCAACTGTGGAGTGCACATGCTGATCCCTCCTTTTACCACGCCTGCGGCACCAACCATTTTCTCCACTCATGTTACAACAGCCCCAGATTAAAGCTCAGCTGCTCTTACACCTTGCTGCTGTCTCTGCTCCAATCTGCACGCCCCAGGTCACAACAGCCCCAGATTCAAGAACGGCGGCCAAAGCACAGGTTGACGTCCAAACTTCAACCATGATCGACCGAATAGCATGCCTACCAGCAAAGTGTTGAAGTCCACTCGGCTGCATTGAAATTTACCTTCCCAGGAAAATGGAACATGCAAGATTTGAAGGGTCAAGTCACCCCTCTCCCGGGGAATCGCAGAACCTGGCTCCTTTGAACAAAGGGACTGGTGCGAATTAGCTCCAAATCCAGGATTGGAGGCTTCGTTGCTAAGACACCTCAGCGTGGGATAGCACCTGTTCCTCGAAGAGGGAGGCTGTGCTTGGTTTTTGTGGGGGCATAGGACAGATGCGAAACCCCGGATTCCTCGACCTTTCAACAGTGTCTGCTTCGGGATTATCATCCTTCGAGGGAACCCGGACAAAGCGGGGGATCCTTGATCAGGGCTCCAAATTGCGGCTCTTCAGCGTCATCTATTGCAAGCCACGATGTGCTTCCTGCAATTTGTACCACAGTTTGCGATTGGTTCACAAGCACTGGCGTTTGGTCGGTCTAAGAATCCCTGGAATGATGGTTCCCCTGTAAATACCAGCAAGCAATGCTTTCCCATGGTTTCAAATTGGTGCAGGATTTTGTCCATCTACAGTAGTTGCACTACTCAGGGAATCCATTCAACTAAAAAGGCAAACGCCCTGGGGAGCTGGTCCACTGAACAGACCCTAACACGCGCCAAAAAACAGTTATCGGGAGGCGGATAAAATCCGGAGTCCTTCTTGAATGCTTTGGTGAAATCCAGAGCAAGGGGGTAGACAAGCCTTCTCACCCTCAGGTTCCGAGGGTTTCCTGTGCATGGTGGTTTCCAGTCGGAAGCCGCGTTTTTTTTCCTTATCGGGCCCCAGGCCCGGTCGCCGTTGTTAAAGATGGCCACCATCGCCTGAAGGAAGCGCTTCGGTCAATTGAGCCGGGTCGCCGTGCGGTTGAAGGCCGCAAGAGAGAAAACAAGCAAAGCAAAGCAAAGGGCCAGCCAAAGGGCAAGGGATTGCCAACGTACCTGAGATGCCCAAAACGTACGAGAGAAGGGCTGGAAAGGCCAATGGAAAAATTGGTGGAACCACGCCGGAAGGCTTTCCGGGTTCATGTTTAAGGGAGCTTGAGGCCTCCCCCGTGCACTGGGACAGGCAAAAGCCCTTGTCTAAACTTATAAATATTATATACATATACACGTGTTGTTCAAGAAAGGTTTTTTATATTCCGCAAATTCGGGGAACAAAAAGAAGAAGAAAAGAAAAAACACGCTGAAACACGCTAAAACTGGGCTGGCTCATGGTTTCACTTTGAACCCAATTCTCAAAAGAACCCGCCTGTCTTGACCCCTCTGGTTTGGAGCCGACTGGCCAAAACGCCGTGGGAAGCCGTGTCATTTCGCGCTGATGGCCTGTGGGATCGAGTTCCTGGAGGTGAAATTGGTTTTAAGCCCTCGCATGCTTGGTTTGAGGTTGGTTTCCGCGCAAAATGTCTGGGAAGAGCTCATCCATTTTAGGATACCCCCCATGTGCAAATCCTTTGGAACGACATACATGCGGCCAGATCCTTCGCTCTGCACGATGCCTGGATTTATCCCTTGGGTTGATGAGCGCGATGCCGGCTTCACAAGAGTTGGGCATATCACCACTCCGCTCAAGTAAAGCCTGGGTCAACAATTTGGGTCGAACATTGGAAAGCGCAAAGCCGCGAAAATGCCGCACCTCCCGTGCGTTTCTGGATACATTCATGCTTCAGCTGTCTGTTTTTGAGGGTACCCGTTTCGCCTTGAAGGGAGACCAAAAGGAAAACCTGTATATTGAGGTCTTAGTGTTTAAACACATCCCATCTGGTGCTTGTTTGGCCCACACACCTGCCCATCCCAGGAAACCTCCGTCCCCATCAAGCGGAACATGCAAATGAACCTCCTAGTGATGAGTTCCGCTGGTCCAGAAGAAGCCACTCCAACCACAAAAAGACCTGCAGCCCTTTGCTTCTTCAGCTAGCAAAGTTGGACCCTTTTTGGGGGGTAAGCAGTTTTGGACCTTTGAGTTTGTGCGGATGTGGGAATCAGCAAGTGACCTTCCCGATGGACCCGGATCCCGGATCCACCCCGAAGCTTTGCACTCTCCCATCTCTCCCTTTAAAAGGGATTGAAGGCGAAAATTTGAACAAAAGAGCCTTGCGGCTCAAGGCGGGTTCTCCAAGCGGGGCGTTTTTTGGGGCGGTTTGTTGTCTGAAAGCATTTTTCAGGGCCTCAAAGAGACCGAATCAGCCTGTCATTCCACGCAAAGAGATAAGCATGGAAGCTCTCAGGGCAAATGGGTATGGGTCAAAATCAAACCACCTGGGGACCACAGGTTTGGTCCTTGCCATTTACTAGGGTTTCACTTTGGGTACCAATCTTTGACCCACACCCAAATGGGAAGACACGTGCCTGTGGCTGAAAAACCGCCTTGAGCCCAAGAATCTCATCTTCCACCCAGGCCTGTGCCATTCGAAAGGAAAATATTCTTCGAAAGACATCCACTTCTCGAACGGCGCATGGAGGGCCAGATTGTGAAAAAGTCCACCAGAATGCGCCAGCCGCTCGAATCTTGGTTGACGCTGGAAGGGGAGCAATTTTTAGCAGTGAAGTGGTTGGATTTCAACCACTAAACCACAATAAGCAAACATGTAAAAAATGTTTCACAACAGTGGGGATTTCCCACTAAACCAATAAGCAACAATGTAAAATCTTTCTCAGCAACCGTGGAATAGAGGGCTTGATCTTTTCGCCCGTTCAGAATTCGCCCGCCGGACTGGGACATTTGGAGCGTCCTAAGGCTGGAAGAAGAGGACCCCAGCAAAAAAAATGATATATATATTTTTTGCCTGACTAGTGGAAAAGAAAGGGACCCCAAAAAAGCAGCAAAAAAAACGAAAGGAGGAGCTAATTCTGGGGAAGCTAAGACCAAGGAACTTCTCAAAGACCACATCACCCCATCCCCTTCTGCTGAGACGCCCCCATGAGCTTCTTGGCATCTGTGGACGCAGTCACGTTCAGCTCCTGCGCAGAAAAGCGCACCGAATGGTCTATAAGTGATGTGGCTTTTTGTCTTACGTGTGGTTCCCTTTGAAGCAACCCCATCAAAAGGGCAGCAAAATCACAGACCCATATCCATGGCAGCAGGAATTTCGATTCGCCCAACGCCAACGCCAAAAAAAAACGCAGGGTGCTGGGGCTAAGTTCCTGAAGCTCTTTTCTGAGGTTCCCCTTGGAAACCCGTGTATTTGGGGCTGAGCAGGTAGCTAACTCACCCATGAAAGTGCTGGAACATAGACCGCTAGCTGCAAGGTGGACTGGATCTAGGTCGACTGCTTTACATCGGTTGCTTGGTTCCCACTTATCAATTGATCATCCTTCTTTTTGTTGCGCGACTCACTAGTTAGATTTGGCTACCTTGATTGGCACGTACTCTCTAAGCCGACAAGCCCGAAGCTATGTTTTGACATGTATGTTCTTTTCGATTCTTTTTGGGGACCAGGGCCGCTCCTTTCTTTTGCCCTCAAACGGGCCAAGTCTTTGCCTCCGAGCCGCCACTTAGGCAATTGATGGCGACCGCACCCGGGGGGTTGCGACCCATGGCACTTTCTTGGAAGTTCCGTTTGAGCAAATCGACCTCAGGGTGTACCTCGGGAGGTAGATTTCGGGAGATAGGCGAAGCTCCTGCATGCTCCTCCTGGTCAGCCTGAGTTTCTTTGATATGGCCCATCCCACTTCCCGAAGGTTTGGGGATCCTTTCCTTCCATGGATTGGTTCCCTTACCCAAAAATCAACGGGGACTTATTCTGACATGCAAATGGAACTCGGTTACCTCTGGAAGAGCGCTCCCGCAAATGTGACATGGTCAGAACTCCGGGCCGCTACCTATCGAGACCCCTTCTGGGTGAAGCAAGGGGTCCATGACCAACCCCTCCCCAGTAACATGAATGTTGCCACTCGGGCTACCTTGGTACTTGGATCTTCGGCCAAGTTAGAAAGTGGTTGGCCATTTGGGGTATAACCCCCTTGTAACAAGGTTAACCCCACTGACGAGGACTTCGAAGTGGGTTATAACATAGGTTACCAACAACTTGCTAACTTGGCCGAACACCCAAGTACAGAAAGTGGCCAACCCCGCAACACGCCAAGTGGGCTCTGTTCACCTCAAAAATGCGGCCCCCACATCTCCCGGAATCGTCCTGGAAGAGCGGCGTGATCGGCGCCTGCTGACGAAATCAAGCCATAGGGTCCGCAACACACAGGGTGAAAAACCTGGGGCTACAACGGGTCCGCAAAAATGTTAACCCCGGATTAATAAACCCCTGGTTGATTAATAAGGGGATGTCCCCTTTTAGTGGGGATTCATCACATCTGGAGGGAACACTCCCCTAATAATGGGACGGGTTTATTAAGCCTGGGTCAACATAAATGGGAAGAAAACGCCCCCCCCCTTTCGGGACAATTCAAGATGACCGGCTATTCGGCACCCAACCCACTGGTGAGCAGGGACCTCAAAGAACCGCCCGGTGAACCAGACAGGAGTGTTAGCCTACAACCCGATTGAAGGCCGCACCTCGTTTTGACCTATCTTCCAATCTTCGGACTTCACACATCTCCAGAAAGACAGAAACACAGACAGACAGACAAACAGACAGAAAACAGACAGACACACAGACAGACAGAGACACACAGACGACAGACAGACAGACACAGACAGACACAGACAGACAACCAGACAGAAAGACAGACAGAAAGACAGACAGAAAGACAGACAGACACAGACAAACACAAACAACAATAACAGACACAGACAGACACAGACAGACACAGACAGACACAGACAGACACGGACAAACACAGACAGACACAGACAGACACAGACAGACACAGACAGACAGACACAGACAGACAGACAAACAGACAGAAAGACAGACAGAAAGACAGACAGACAGACAAACAGACAGAAAGACAGACAGAAAGACAGACAGACGCAGACACAGACAGACAGAGACAGACACAGACAGACACAGACAGACACAGACAGACACAGACAAACACAGACAGACACAGACAGACACACACAGACACAGACAAACGGAGACAGACACAGGCAGACACAGACAGACAGAGACAGACAGACAGAGACAGACACAGACAGACACAGACAGAGACAGAGAGACAGACAGGGACAGAGGTATAGCTAGAAAGAGAGAAAGAGGACAAACAGACAGACAGACAGACAGACAGACAGACAGACAGGCAGACAGACAGACAAACAGACAGAAAACAGACAGACACACAGACAGACAGAGACACACAGAGACACACAGACGACAGACAGACAGACACAGACAGACACAGACAGACACAGACAGACGCAGACAGACAGACAGACAGACAGACAGACAGACAGACAGACAGACAGACACAGGACACGCGGACACACGAACACACGAACACACGGACTCACGGACACACAGACACACGGACATACGGACACACAGACACACCAACACCACACAGGCACAAAGACACACGGACACCCGGATCACGGACACACAGACACACAGACACACACCATAATTTTCCCATTGCGATGTTCAACACGGTATTTCATTTGGTTGGGTTTAAACACAGTGCTTGTGTAAATGGGATGTTCCACCCTAGCAAGAAAATGAAGAATACATTTCCAAAGCCAAGCATATGCGTTAGGTAAACTGATTGTTGTTGCGCTTGATGGCTGGCTTGGCCTACAAGGGCCTTGATTACACCCTCGAAACTTTCAAAACACCATATTGAGAAGCCAAGTGTGTTAAAAGCTTGCTCCAACCCAAGCTTGAAGTCAAGAACCAGCCATGCCTCGCAGACGCGCCCCTATTGCCGCTTATCAGACAGCTAAGTTCCGTGGATTGGTCTTAACATTCAAAGTCTACAACAACTCGGGTTGCGCTCATTGCAGTGAAAAGTCAACTTCACGGGTAAATACCATATTTCACGCAAGATTCACAGATGTTTCACGAAATTTGCCCTAGCACCTACATTAATGGCACTGCCAGGTCAACAACAAAGTCTTCAAGTTAAACAGGTCCCAGCTTTGACCTGCCAGTTCCTAAGTAAACTTGGGAGACTGTGAGAGGGGTGCCCTAAAACGATGAATTAAGGAACTATGACCGTACGGGTGTACAGAAGGTAGCCCCGCTGAGTCTGAAAGGAGCTGACCTTGGACCGTTTTGGTGGATTGCCATCAATGCTTCGGAGTCAAACAAAATAGAGGGGTTGTGCACAGTGTCTTTTGCCGGAGAAGACGAAGCAAAAACTGAGTCGGGATTTCCTGTGTCGAGAGAGTGACATCCAACCTGGTGGTTGCAAACTGCCTCCAAGTCGCTCAGCTCCTTTTTTGGGGCTGGGTCTGGGGGGGTGGGGGGGTCCTGAACCTCCATTTGCTTAAGTCCCCTGAAAAATGCAAATATTTCCAGTAGTGATAAATCCCTTTAAAACCAACAGGGGAAATTAGGAAATATTCATTTCACCGAATGAAAGTGAAAGGTATCCACCTTTCCACAGATTTCCCAGCCGTTTGGTGAGTCTGCTTCATATTTCCCAATCTACAGAGATACATAGACAGGTGCTCCTAGGCTCCAAGACTTAACCCCGAAAAAACAGGGACCCGTACCCCCCCAATTTGTATATGGCTGCGGCTCAAAAAAGTGGTACCAAAATTGCACCTTGGTAAATGGAACGACTAAAACCCACGTAACCTGAGCTCTTTAATTTTGAGCCATACCCATATAAATTTTGGGGGATCCCCGAAAATTGGTGTGTCTTTGTTGGGACCCGGGTGCCCTGCTTGGCCTGGTTTCACTTGGAAAACCAAAGGGGGAATTTCGGGTTGAAAAATTTCGCTCCCCGCGACCCGTCCGGAATCGGCCAGTTCTCCTCGCCTCTGCCTCCGCGTCAGGGGCAGCGCCGCCCCCTGGATTAGAGATGCAGGGAATGAGGAAAGGAATGACCCCAAGGAAAACCATCCAACTGATGGTTTTCTTTAGGAGAATCCCTGGGTTCATTCCCTCGTTCCTACTGAGCACCAGCAAGGTTGGTGAGTTGTCATTGGCAAGCCCCTCATGAAACATCTAACGATAGCCTTGCCAAGATGCCTAGGAACGCATGGGCAGCCAAACAAGATGCGTGCAAGAATCGCTCGTGAGAATCACGCAAACGCATTTGTTTGAATCCCACACAGATTTTCACACACAGACAAGTCCAAATGGCAGAATCTGGGGGGGGGGGGTTCTAAGTGTTCACCGCCCAGCTGATGTGAAGCTCGGGCAACCACCATGCCTTTGTCCTTATCATTTTCCCATCGGGCCGCGCAGATTTATGTTTGTTTCGTGGTTTTCTGTAGAAACAACGGAGAAATGATGATGACCAATAGACGATTTTCATGGGAAATTCTGAAAACTAAGGAAAATACCAGCAAATCATCACGTATTCATCACTGCTTCATCATTTTTCGTAATGTGTTCATCTTGGTTCATCATTGCTTCACCATTTTGCAAGGGTCCTCATCATGTTCATCGCTTTTTGCAAAAATCGTGGTTTTTCGTGATGTGTAGGTTGTTTTTAACGCTACTATACATTTTTGCAGGTATCTGTCGGAACTCATGGCAACATGATGGACAAATGATGAACAGAATGATGAAACCATAATGATTTCCGGACAAAGATGCAAATCCTTGCGAAACCCTTGAAAATTAAGGAAAAAGCTAGCAAATCATCTTTTGCTCATCATTTGTTTCATCATTTGTTTATCATTGCGCAAGTGTTCTCGTCTTTTGTTCACACTACACAAATGTACATATTTATATATATATATATATATAGATAGACAACAAATGTGTGCAGAAAGCGAGGAAAAAGTCATGAATCCGAAACAAGAAGAACAAATGATGAGACCAAACGATGCCAAAATGATGAATATATGATATGAAACTATTTTTGAAACAAAAACTCAGTGTTTGGCTGCCCGAAGATCTCTTGAGTTTATCATGTGTGCTTGATTAATTGTGTAGTCCCGTTGTTTTTCGTGCATGGTCGGCTCTTTTCTCTCTCGGGGCAACGCCCGTGACCAACGCTTAGAAGCCGTAGGTACCTCTCAAACAACACTTAAAAACGTTTCTAAGTGTTTGACGGCTGGTAATATGCATCAGAATCACCATAAAGGAGAAACACGTTTCTAAGTGTTGGTCGGCCGGACCGTTTCTAAGTGTTGAATTTACTGTTTTATTTTTGTTGTTTCTAAGTGTTTGTCGGAAATTTTGGAAACCAAAACCGTTTCTAAGTATTTGTCCGTCACTATTTATATACACAAGCCCATTGACACTGGGCAGTCACAAACATCACAAACATCCTGGATGATTGAGCTTTTATTTTGTGAGCCTGGTTGAAAGCAAAGAAAGAACAATCTAAACTGGCACTTCAGACATCCTCTGAAAGTTTGCAACGTTAAACTTGGCTTCCTGCTTCAGTAGAACCATCAGACTAGATGTCAATAGGACCACTTTCCAAGTGTGCTTCAAAGCTTGAGCATTTGCGTACTCGCGGGCTTCAGAGCAGTGGTCGGAGCTTGAAATCAGCTGGGCGGTCAACACTTAGAAACGCCCCCCCGCAAAAAAGAAAGAAGAGCTTCTACCAATTAGAATTGTCTGTGCGTACACATGACCAAAACCACATATATGTCAGCACGTGTGTGAGCAAGGCATGCTCTATTTACACATATGTCGTGAAGCCTCTTGTAAAGTTAAAGGATATCGTTCTATTCAAAGGTTTTTGCGCGTTTGTCCCCTTTTCACGTGAAATCGAGGTACACTTTGCCAGCTGAAAAGCTCAACTTTCAGTACAAATGAATCGAGGCCAGTATAGTTGGGCAGCTCCGGCTCGAAAGTCGCAACTTTTCAGTACGAGTGTAGAAACGGAACTGCACTTTGGCAGCTCCCGCTCGAGAGTCGCAACTTTTCAGTACAAGTATAGTAGAGGAAATACACTTCGGCAGCTCCGGCTGGAAAGTCGCAACTTTTCAGTACAAGTGAAGTAAAGAATGTGTACTTTGGCAGCTCCAGCTCGAAAGTCGCAAGTTTTCAGAACAAGTGTAGTAAAGGAAGCACACTTTGGCGGCTCCGGCTCGAAAGTCGCAACTTGTCAGTACAAGTGTAGTAAAGGAAATACACTTTTTGTACAAGTGTAGTAAAGAAAGTACACTTTGGCAGCTCCGGCTCGAAAGTCGCAGCTTTGCAGCACAAAGCAAGTGCACTTTGGCCGAAAGTCGCTTTTCAGTACAAGTGTAGTAAACAAAGTACGCTTTGGCAGCTCCGGCTCGAAAGTCGCAACGTTTCAGTACAAGTATAGTAAAGGAAATGCAGCTCCGGCTCGAAAATCAAGTGTAGTAAAGGAAGTTTACTTTGGCAGCTCCGGCTCGAAAGTTGCAACTTTTCAGTACAAGTATCGTACAGAAAGACAGTGTGGCAGCTCCGGCTCGAAAGTCGCAACTTTTCAGTACAAGTGTAGTAAAGGAAGTGCGCTTTGGAAGCTCCGGCTCGAAAGTCGCAACTTTGCAGTACAAGTGTAGTCAAGCAGCAGCTCCGGCTCGAAAGTCGCAACTTTTCAGCACAAGTGTAGTAAAGGAGATACATTCAGCTGCCCATTTCCTCATACAAGGGTAGCCCCGTACACAAAACCATTGTCAGTTGGGTTGTCGCTGTTTTTCGGTCACGCCTTTCTTTTTGCATGCTTTTGGCACGTTCTATTGCACGTGTTGGTATGTCATGTCCAGCCCCTTCCACATTGGTCTTCCATAGACTCTCATATATAGACTTTCATCCTCGGGGCATTTGTGTTTTCTTGTTGAGGTTGTCCGAGCTTGCAATCAGCTGCGCGGTGAACACTTAGAAATGCCTCTCCGCCCAGATTCTACCTGTTGGACTTGTCTGTGCGCCTACATGACCAATACTACATATATGTCAGCACGTGTGTGAGCAAGGCGTCATCTATTTACACACATGCAAACCTTCATCCTCGGGGCATCGGTGTTTTCTTGAAGTTATCGGAGCTTGAAATCAGCTGGGCGGTGAACACTTAGAAACTCCCCCCCCCTCCCCAAAACAATAGGGATTTTACTAGTTGGGCTTGTCTGTGTGTATGCATGACCGATACTACATATATGTCAACACGTATGATCTATTTGCACACACACACATAACATAGAGACCCTCATCCTCGGAGCATCGGTGTTTTCTTGCAGTTGCCCGAGTTTGAAATCAGATGGGCGAACACTTAGAAACGCTCCCCAAAACAAAAAGCGTTCTACCAATTGGACTTGTCTGTGTGTGTGCATGACCAATACTGCATATGTGTCAGCACGTGTGAGAGCGATTGTCAGGGCAAAACTTAGACCCCCGCCAGATTCTATCAATTGGAATTGCCTGTGTGTATACATGACCAATGCTGCTTATATGTCAGCATGTGTGTGAGCAAGGAATTCATTTACGCATATATGTATATATGTAGACGTTGCCCGAGCTTGAAATCAGCTGTGCGGTGAACAACTAGAACCCCCCCCCCCCCCAGATTCTGCCATTTGGACTTGTCTGTGTGTGAAAATTTATGTCCATGAGCTTTTTACAATTTTTTGTACATGCAAATATATAAATATATATATATATAGACCCTCTTCCTCGGGGCATCAGTGTTTTCTCGGGTTGCCCGAGCTTGAAATCAGCTGGGCGGTGAACACTTAGAAACGCCCCCCGCCCCTCCAGATTGTATGAATGGGACCTGTCTGTGTGTATGCATGACCAATACTACACTTATGTCAGCATGTGTGTAAGCAAGGCATGATCTATTTACACCTATATAGACCTTCATCCTCGCGGCATCGTTTTTCGTTCAAATCAGCTGGGCGTGACTTAGAAACGTCCCCCCTTTTGCGCAGGCTCTACTGGTTGGACTTGTCTGTGCGTACACATGACCAAAACTACATATATGTCAGCACGCGTGTGAGCAAGGCGTGATCCACTCACACATATGTAGACCTTCATCCTCGCGGCATCGGTGTTTTCCTGCAGTGGCCGGAGATTGAAATCAGCTGGGCGGTGAACACTTAGAAACGCCCCACCCCACCCCCCCAAAAAATAGTTTCTACCAATTGGACTTGTCTGCTGTGCGTGTACATGACCAACACTACGTATATGTCAGCCCGTGTGTGAGCGAGGCATGTTCTATTTACACATATGTCGTGAAGCCTCTTGTAAAGTTAAAGGTTAGCGTTTTTTGCAACCGCATCGTTTTAAAGGTGTTTGTGCGTTTGACCCCTTCACGCTGAATCGAGGTACACTTTGCCAGCTGAAAAGGCGCAACTTTGAGTAAAAGTGAGGCGAAGCAAGTATAGTTGGTTGGGCAGCTCCGGCTCAAAAGTCGCAGCTGTTCAGCACGAGTGTAGTAAAGGAACTGCACTTTGGCAGCTCCCGCTCGAAAGTCGCAACTTTTCAGCACAAGTACAGTACCGTAATGGAAATATACTTCGGCAGCTCCGGCTTGAAAGTCGCAACTTTTCAGTACAAGTGTAGTAAAGAACATGCACTTTGGCAGCTCCAGCTCGAAAGTCGCAACTTTTCAGCACAAGTGTAGTGAAGGAAGTGCACTTTAACAGCTCCGGCTTGAAAGTCGCAACTTTTCAGTACAAGTGTGGTGCAGAAAATACACTTCGGCAGCTCCGGCTCGAAAGTTGCAGCTTTTGTACAAGTGTAGTAAAGAAAGTACACTTTGGCAGCTCCGGTTCGAAAGTCGCAACTTTTCAGCGCAAGTATAGTAAAGAAAATACACTTCGGCAGCTCCGGCTCGAAAATGGCAACTTTCAAGTACAAGTGTAGTGAAGGAAGTGCACTTTGGCAGCTCAAAAGTTGCAACTTTTCAGTACAAGTCAGTACTGTACAGAAAGACAATTTGGCAGCTCCGGCTCGACAGTCGCAACTTTTCAGTACAAGTGTAGTACAGGAAGTGCACTTTGGCAGCTCCGGCTCGAAAGTCGCAACTTTTCAGTACAAGTGTAGTAAAGGAGATACACTCAGCTGCCCATTTCCTTACACAAGGGTAGCCCCGTACACAAAACCATTGTTTGGGTTATCGCTGTTTTTCGGTCACCCCTTTCGTTTCGCATGCTTTTGGCACGTTCTATTGCACATGTTGGTATATGTCATGTCCAGCCCTTTACATATTGGTCTTCCAAAAGTTTTGCTAGACTCTCATATATAGACTTTCATCCTCGGGGCATTTGTGTTTTCTTGTTGAGGTTGTCGGAGCTTGCAATCAGCTGGGCGGTGAACACAAAGAAACCCACCCCCACGCAGATTCTACCAATTGGACTTGTCCGAGTGTATACATGGCCAATACTACATATATGTCAGCACATGTGTGAGCAAGGCATGAGCTATTTTACACATATATTTGTATATATATATATAGACCTTCATCCTCGGGGCATCGGTGTTTTCTTGGGGTTGTCCGAGCTTGAAATCACCTGGGCGGTGAACACTTAGAAACGCCCCCCCACCCCCACCCAGATTCTACCAATTGGACTTGTCTATGGCTGGTCGATACCTACATATGTCCGCGCCAGTTGGCGATTTGCGAATATAGAAACACCCTTGAAGTGGTGCGTGTAGACACATATATATATATACATATATATATATATATATACATATATATATATGTATGTACCCAGGTCGTGGTGCTAAGGACCTGGTCCAGGCCTTGTGTAACCAACAAAGCTTGATGGGAGCCTTATGGCCTGTCAGGAGTATATGCACATATATATATATATATACATATATGTATATATGTATATGTGTGGGTTCAAGCCCATATAGACATCAAACAAGGCATGAAAAACATGAACGTTTCGCATCTTGGAGTCAAGAGCCGTTGGGCTACTGCTGTAAAACGTTTCTAAGTGTTGAAACATGTTTCTAAGTGTTGAAAAAAGTTTCGAAGTGTTGAATTGGGCCGTAGCAGTCCGGATCAACACTTAGAAACGAAAAGTAGCTGCTGGAGACATCACTTAGGAACGAAAAAAAAAGCTGCTGACAGGAGAAAGTTTCCAAAACCGTTTCTACTTGTTTGTCCGTCACTATATATACACGTGTTTCTATACAAACACATAATATGTATGTGTATGAACATGGGTAGGTGTCCAGAGTATGCAGGGCATTATATTAAATTATGATTCCAGACCCCCGAGTGGCACGTGAATATCTCGCGAGCAATCGCAGTGTGATTTCCATCCGTGTGACGATGTTGCCTGCGAAGAGGTTGCAGTGTGACAGAAAATGGGCGCCAGCGTTATGCAACGGTGCAAACCTGGTCAGCAACAGTCAGCGTTTCGTGCCACCAGCTACCCTTTCCCGCAGCACGCGAACAGGCTGTGGAGCCAAACGTGTTACAGAAGCCCGGGATTTATGCTTAGCTGCTCTTGCACCTGTCTCCGCCAAATTCTGGATCACCCCAAGTCACAACAGCCCCAGATTCAAGAATGGTTGGATGTGCTGGACGTTCCTCAGCTGCTCCTTCACCTGGCTGCTGTCTCCGCCGAACTCTGGATGACCCCAGGTCACAACAGCCCCAGATTCGAGAATGGCAGCAAAAGCACTTTCAGTTGCTTGGATGTGCTGGACGTTCCTCAGCTGCTCTTGCACCTGGCTGCTGTCTCCGCCGAAACCTGCACGACCCCAGGTCACAACAGCCTGAGATTCAAGAATGGCAGCCAAAGCACCATCGCCAGCATCAGGACTACCGGCAGCTGCTTGGATGTGCTGGACGGTCCTCAGCCGATCTTGCACCTGGCTGCTGTCTCCGCCGTCGTCTGGATCTCCCCAGGTCACAACAGCCCCAGATTCAAGAATGGCAGCAAAAGCACCGCCAGTTGCTTGGATGTGCTGGACGTTCCTCAGCTGCTCCTTCACCTGGCTGCTGTCTCCGCCGAACTCTGGATGACCCCAGGTCACAACAGCCCCAGATTCGAGAATGGCAGCAAAAGCACGTCTCCGCCGAAACCTGCACGACCCCAGGTCACAACAGCCTGAGATTCAAGAATGGCAGCAAAAGCACCATCGGCAGCTGCTTGGATGTGCTCGACGTTCCTCAGCTGCTGTTGCACCTGGCTGCTGTCTCCGCCCCATGCTATAGCACCCCAGGTCACAACAGCCCCAGATTCAAGAATGGCAGCAAAAGCACCATCGCCAGCATCAGGACTACCGGCAGCTGCTTCGATGCGCCGCACCTTCCTTAGCTGCTCTTGCATCTGGCAGCCGTCTTTGCAAGATTTGGGAGTGCCCCAGGTCACATCCTCGCCTCCGTGGCCATGCCAAGCGAATGCCTGTCTGGTGGCAGCTAATTTGCCCAGCTGCACAACCGCAGTCACTACGTCCCCATCTCGCAACCCGGCGTCACTCAGTGTGGCTGTCATATCGAGCCATCGGCCTTCCGCAGTGAGCTTCAAGCGGCGCTGGAAATGCTGCTGCGCTGCAGCTTTCAGCTCGCTGAGCAGGGCCTTTTCGGCGAGAGTTATATCGAGCAACCATCTCCGCGCAAGTGAACAGTCAGCATCATCTTGCAATGCGGGTGCATTGAGTTGAGGGGAGCTCCCTCGGCTTTTCAAAGAAACTGCCAACCGTGTAGGGCTCAAATCCTTGGACACATCCAAGCAACCGCCTTCATGGGGCTGCAGCTGACCCCCTGTAAACACCCAAGCTGAAGCGCTCGCGATTTGGAAACCGAAGACGGCAACGGGAAACCGCAAGGCGGCTGACTTGGTGAGTCATACCCGTGACCCACCCATCGAAAGGAGAATACCCAAAATCGAAGGATCCAGGCGGAAAGCTCACGGCTTTCCGTAGCTTGCACTCTGCTGTTGGGATTGGTGTGGTGTGTGGTTTTGGCTGGTCATGCTTTTGGGTCGCAATCCAACTCCCCCCTATGAACAATCCGCTATGGTTTCCTTTAAAGGAATCCCCTTCCGGTTCATTCCCAAAACCCGGTTCCGGGTCATCCCCTACCAATCGCACCGGCAAAAGGGCTCCGAGTCGGGAGAAAGGCCCCCGGAGGTCCTGATCGATCAGACCTGAGTGGGCCGATGTTTGGTATCTGGCCGATTTTTTCGAATCAGCTCAGCCCAGTGGATTTCCATGGGACAAGAATCGGCATCCTTTTTCGGTTGGTTCGCTTTAAAGGGGGGCCCTTTCCCAAAAAAGAAAAACGGGCACCATTGGGCAACTGGGTCAGCTGGGCGCTCGTTTCGGAGAGCTTCTGAAGCTGAGGTTTGCCGCGCAGAAAGGGAAGCCCCTGGTCTTTTTCCGTACCTCGAAAAGCATCGCGGGCGGACTCCGAGCAACTCGTTTTGGGAGTCGGGGTTTGTGGGTATGAGACTTGTGCCGCGGGCCCTGAAAATCCATTGGGCCCAGTGATTCTATCTTCCCTTCAGCCAAGGCAACCACCCTTTAGTTGGTTGGTTGGGTGGGTGGTTACGATATATGTTTGGTTGACCCCCCTAAACGAAAACTGGTTGTAGTGGTAATTGGGATTCACTACAGGGGGATTCCCGAGTATATCTTGGTATAGAAACAGGATGAGGGCTCCAAACCAAACAAACTGAAGCTGACGGTGTGTCCAGTCCCAGCCTTCCAGTGAAAAAAGCAAAGCAAAGGGCAACCCTGAAAGAAAAATAGGTCGCCTTGTGGAAACAAAAAATCAATTCCGATGGCGCCGGCGAATGTGTTTTCCAACCAAAGCGAAAAAGCATGTGGAACCCATCCATGTTCAAACTCGCCTAGCAGGGAACTCCATCAGAGCAAGGAACATGCCGAGGCCAGCTGATCACCCCGGTTTTTCCCCCCGCTGTGAAAGTGCCTCGTCGGATCGGTCCGAGCATGACTCGTTTAAAACGCCGGGGGTCAACATTAGACCTGCTCAAAATGAGTCTCCGTCAAAATGAGCAAAGACCTGACTTGCTTTTTGAGTGCACTTTACAAAACCGGGAGGGTTGAAGAAAAGCGTTCCTTCGCTCAGCCAACCGTTTCTGGGGGATAGCAACGACCGCTTTCAAGAGCTCCATGAATCCCCCGCCGCACCTCCTTCTGCGAAGCGAGGAATCCGGCTCACCCTGCGAAGCGAGGCAGCGAGTTGGGCGTGAACCCTTTTGACGCTGCGGGTAGATCCAGGTCACTGCGAATTGACTCGTGTGCGGTGTGAGCAGAGCTAAGCCTTAAGTCATATTCTATTTTTTTACACCCTCTATGTGATCAGGTTCGGCAAAGCGAAGTCTTGGCGCTGATGTAAGTAAACCCTTCCAGTCGTTTAAAATGAAACCCGTCACGTCTACAAAGTGACCCATGCTATTTTTTCAGATGGCTATCTAATCTCCAGGAAACCCTTCGTGGGTACTCTGGCAGCCTCGACACACACCCAAATACAAATCCCACCTAGCTCCAATGGATCCATCGCTTCCACTCCAAAAGAAAGAGGTGCGGTGTCCGAAAGCTTCACTGAAAGCCGTCCAAACGAGGAGGACTCATATGGCGGCCCGGGTCAAAATCCAAATCGGTGAGCCCCCAGTGAGCATCCGATTCAATCCAACGACTGGGTGAATTCACCGAAAAACCCCAAAATGGGATCCCAAAACGGTCTTGACCACAGCCATGTTGGACTCCCGAACAAAAAAAAACCTGCGAGACCCGGAGCCGGCGTGTTTTGGTTTCATCGCGAGGGTGCAAGTTGAGCGATATGGAGGTCTGAATGGTTGCCTGGAGTCTCCATGAACCTTTAAAAATGGGTCCATGACCCCATTATTTTGGGTATTGACCCCATTTTTAAAGGGTCATGGAGACTCCAGGTATACGGTTATACACTACGGGCCTGTCATCATGACGCGAGTCTGATTTTAAAGTACCCCACAACCCTATTCTTCCGGTTTCCCTGCTTTCGTCCAAGAGACCCTTCAGTGCATTTCAAGTCTCCATCCGTCTGGCTTGTGGGTTCCTGACAGGGGTCCTGGAAAACCACTGCCCTCCAGGAACCCTCCAAGACGAGGTGCCTTTTGAAGAGGGTTTCGTCCACCGATCGTCCACTTCCATGTTGGAAAGAGAGTTTCAATAGAACTAAGTGGCTAAAGGTACACAGGCCATAAATCCCGAGATCTGAGTGCCACAAGTGAGACTGCCCAGCTCCACTCCCTCCAGCCCCGTGGACCCTCGAGTGCATATTTACTTCGTGGCGAAGTCTTTTGGACTTTCCAAAGCTGGAAAAAGGCACCAGCGAGAAAACAAGGACCTCGGGATGGGCACAAGGTCTGGGTCTCATGTTCTCAATCCGCTGCGCAGGCGCGCAGCATAAACCAATGTAGAAAACTCGGGCCTGCCATAAACATGTTCTTTCAATCAGCCTGAGTCATGTCATGCCAACTGAACTGAAATGAACCCTTTTCATCTTGTGTATAGTCTAGTCATGGTGAAACCAGCGAAGGGGAACCTCAAATGGGTGGTGGGTGTGCCTCTGCGGCAAAGGTGAATTGAAAAATCCAGGTTGCACGACCTGCGACCCGTTTCTATCTACTCAAATTCCCGCACGAGTGGCAGTCGATGTTGAAACACATTCCAAAAACCTGGGAAAGGGAAACCACCGCTGTTTAGTCCCGAAGTGAGCTGAAGGTTTTCCTGCGTTTCGTGCAAACTGGTAGGGATCCACCTTACCCCTTGGTGGTTTGGTGGTTTGGAGGAGCTACCAGTCTTCAAAAGGGAAGTGGGGTTAATGTTGACCCAGGATTAATAAACCCGTCCCATTATTGGGGGGGTGTTCCCTCCAAAAGTGGTCTGAATCCCCACTAAAAGGACACCCCCCCCCCCCCGAGGGGTTTATTAATCCGGGGTTATTAATCAACCAGGTGTCCTTTTAGAGGAAATAGATGGCCCTGGTAGATGATTAAACCACCAGGTAAACCAGGAATCGCCATCGTTTTTGCTACCAAAACCAGCAAAAAGGACACCTATGGGCTTTCTGCTCCCCTGCTAAAAGCTTAACTTTTAGTGGTTTAATACGGAACCCACTAGTTGGCAAAAGGTTGTAAAGTCCTAACATCCAACCAAAATGCCAGGCATCGCCATCGATTTTTCGACCAACACCAGCCAAAAGGACACCTATGGGAACCCCGGGTTCTCCCCAAACCACCCAGCCACCAAACCTATGGGAAGTGTAAACTCATTGCATGATGTGGCTGCGTCTGGAGGACTCAACATGCCGAGAGGGAAAAAAAAAGCAAAACCACCAAACCACCAAGTTATCCCCAAAAACACCAAACGACCCAAAGGGCACCTGACCAAATCCTGTCGGCTCCCGAGCCTGGAGCGCAGCACCGGCCTTGGGCGCGAGCAGAGCTTAGCTCTCCTAGAAAGGGGGACAAGGAAAACCAACAAGTCAAACAACAACGACGAAAATCCGAAAAAGAAGAAAGATAGGAAGAAAAAAAAAAAAACGGGGGGCGGGGGGAGAGAAAAAAGAAAGAAAGACAAAGAAAAAAAAGCAAACAAACAAACAAAGAAATGAACCAACAACAATCGAAGAACACCAAACACTTGAAAGGAAAAGCAAACCCACCAAATTTCCCAACCCGAAGTGTGCGGATACACACGTGCCATACACTCAACTGGAGAAGGTCCCGGGTTCTGTTGCTTCCGAAGGCCTGGGCCCCTCCGATCAGAAATTGGGTACTTCGTCCTATGATGTTTGGTCGAAAATGAGGCAACCAGGGACTCGAATGACTCCTTATGCATCGCGGATGAATCTTTTTGCACTGCAGCACAAACTTCTGCCCGAAAAGGGCCACAGATATCTAGTGGATTGGGCAAGCGCGCCATCTGAATAGGCTGTTTTTCCTCCTCTGCCTTTTTTGTAGCTGTCTCCGTCACAGCTGTCAAGGGCGCTGTTGGCCTAGAGTAAAACTTGGAACCGGCCGGGAACTTCAAAGCCTTCCCGCAAAAGTAAAAGCGGTCTCACTTCTGCTGCAGCAACTCTGCCGGCAGCGCGCTTTCTGGCTGGGCTCTTCCTGCAGGTAAGCTGTACTTGTAGCAGACCCCATCCTTCACTACCAGGTGCACTTTGTCGCGCTTCAAGCAGCTGATATCCTGCAAGGGATTGCCATGCACCAGGATGAGATCGGCATAGGCACCAGTAGCAATCACTCCAAGTGCGCCATCTTTGTAGGGGCTCATGCCTCCACTCCAGCCCAGCACTTTCGCAGCATCACCTGGGTATGGGTCAAAATTCAGTCAACAGGAATTGGACCGCAGAAATTTGGTCCATGTTTCCATTTACCGATCGGGCAAACCATTTTGGGGTTACCCTATTTTTGACAACCACGCCACCTGTTGCCGTCCTCAAGGCCTCCGCTGGAGAAAAGCCGGCCGCGGTCACCAACGAAATGATGTTGTCTGCCTGGCGATGTTGAGCAATTGAGCCAAACATATCTCCACCTGAAATGGTCACTGGCTTGTATTTTCGGGCATACTCCATCATTTGCGCAGCTCCACGTGCCACAATTGCAGCCTTTTTCCTTTGCTCCTTTGTGAAAATGGTGAGCTTGTCTGGGTCAGCAAAGGCTTCCATAGACATAACACACTGCAGACAAATCGCCGCTCCCTCGTCTGCAATTCGCTTCATAGTTGATTCAGTCATCAGGAAACCATGCTCAATGCATCGCACTCCCGCATCCAAACAACGGTTGATCGAGTCATCGTGATAAGCATGTGCAAGTACGTATGTGCCATAATCTGTGGCGACTTCTACAGCTGCACGCATTTCGTCTGCGGTGAACTGAGTCATGTGAATTGGATCAAAGGCACTGGCACATCCACCACCGGCCATGATTTTGAGCTGGGTTGCTCCGTTCCGCAAGTTGTTTCTGGCCGCCTTCAACATCTCAGGCCTGCCATCCACAATATGGGCAAACCCCATCTTTTCGAGTGTATCCTGATCTCCTGGCTGGTCAAAGCCACAACCCGTATCTCCATGTCCACCAGTTTGACTCAGGAAAGCACCGGACGCAAAGATGCGGGGCCCCGGGATCCGCCCATTGTTGATGGCCTTGGCGATGCCAAGCACGTTGCCACCGGCATCGCGGCAAGTGGTGAAACCTTGCAGCAGGTAATCGATACAATCCTGGCCACACATGGCACCCATGGCCATTTGGTCATAGTGGTCTCGACCCTCGAGCATACCCTCCTGGATGCACAAATGACTATGCATGTCGATCAACCCAGGCATCAGGGTGTAGCCGCTGCAGTCGATCGTCACAGCATCCCAATTCTCTGGACTGATGCCTGGACCAATGTCTTGGATCAGATTGCCCACCACGAGCACATCCTTTGGGCCGCTCAACACTTCCGAGCCATCGTAGATTTGGGCATTCTTGAAGAGGATCGGCTTCTTGGTCTTCTCTTCACGGAACGCGGGAAAGAATTCCGGCATCTCAAAAGTTCAAAAGAGTGGAGAACCTGCACAGCTACCGACTTTTTGTTTGGGAGCCCTGAGCCAGGTCAAAGTCAAGCACCAAGTCCAAAGTCCTGCCTCTTCAGGTGTGCTGGAGCTGGCTGGAGAAATGAAAGCACTCAAGGTAGAGAGCTTGAAGAAAGACTTGGATGATGAAACTAGAGTTCATGAATTGATGCTTCAACGGTTCATCATCCAAGTTTGGTGCTTCAACCCTTGGATGAAAGACTTGGTGCTAGGGTTCATGAAATTCAGTGCGCCAAGCTAGGGTTGAATTTCAATGGGCCAACCGGGCCACTGGAGCCCTTTCTCTCAGCTCCGGGCGAGCTTAAGAAAGACACGCCCTGCAGCGCGAGGCAAACCTGGCGCGAGCTCCGAATTCCGGCGACGGCCCCAGGTTGGCTCTGCCCCCCCTTTTGCCTAGTGACTCCAGGCCGATTACGCGGATTCCCACTGACATGGCACCTGACAGGGGGTCCCTCCAAGACGAAAGTAATCTTCCCGCTGCCATGTTAGGGGGAGGGAGGGTAATTAGCCAGCCAATCACATCGCCAAGCAACTCGGGGTTGACTTCTAGTTCACCCAAAATTTTGACTAGCAACCATTTAGCGAAGTAAACCATCTATGCCCCCATGAGGACAAAACAAGAAAGCCGGAGTGGGCCTTGCGTTCCCGCCAGGGAAGTTCATGGGTATACTTTCGGTGCCGTGGGGCCATGCGTACGTGAACACAATCAGGCAAAACAACTGGGAGGAGAGTGCGGTGGACCTCCGCCATTCCCCACGAGTGGGATTGTCTGTGCTTTGCTCTTGGTGAATGAGACCTTCACCGCGTTGCACGGCACCAGACCCTCACCTTCGGCGAGCGGTTTCAACTTATTCGGCGCTGGGCCGAATCGTCCACCTCAAGGTAAGACGAGTGCTTGATTGGCGTAAGGACGCTGACAAAGACACTCGTGTAAATCAAACATTCATGAAAAGCACTTCTGTAACTCTGTAACTAGAAACATTCGCTGATGATGTTTATGAGGACTGTATTGAGTCACGAGAATAAGAAACCGTTCATCAAGGGTTTGCCGGAGGGGATGAGGGACACCCAGCTGAGTAAATTGCAGGATGTCTACAAGCAGACTAATTTCCTCTTGTCAGAGTCGACATCAACACCACTCAGTTGATGGTTCAGGGCATCACTGTCTTGACTGACTACATCACTCACCCAACAAAACTGTGGGTTGGTATGATGAGCCCGTATGCCCAGGCATTCAGAAAGGAGCTCAACGAAGAGGGTGGGGCATCCGTGGAGTTGATCATGACCAGCTTCAGCAGAAGAAGCTGATTTGGTCGCAACCACATTTATCCTATTCTGCGTGGTTTCGGTCGCGAGCCGGAGAGGGGTTGGCAAAGGCGACGACCAAGCCCCAAATTGTCGGTCAGGATTGACCTCCTTCCCCAATGCCATCACCTGTTTTTGAGAGGGTCCTTTACCAGGAACCCTTTGTTTCTAAACTACCAAAAGCAGTAATTGCGAATAGGACTGTGGGTTTTGGGATCCCCTGGAAAACATGTGTTTTGTTTGTTTGGTTTTTCTTGTCCGTAGATTCCCTTTAAAACCAACAGGAAAAAACAAATAAGACAAACTGGGGTTCCTCCAGTTGCTGAAGTCCCCTGGAAAAATAAACATATTTCCCCTGGTAATAGAGTCCTGGCACCCTGTATGGCTGTTTTTTGTTCGGTCAAACTCCCGTATTTGGCCGTATTTGCCCGTATGGCCATGATTTTTCGGTCATTTGCGTAAATCACCCGTATGAAACCCATATTTTTTCGACATGTTGTTGAAAAAAAGCCGTAAAAAACTGTATGGCAATTATTTTTCGGTCAAAGGCGTATGAAAAAAAAAAAAACGGCCATATGGGGTCCCAGGGTCCCTTTAAAAACCAACGGGTGAAGAAAAAAAACAAGTATATATTAGGCAAATGGAAGGTTTCGGGTGAACGGCTTCAGATCGACTCCGTCCATTCTTTCCTCTGGGCCCCCGAGCCAAAAGCGCCAAACCGCCGCTTTTGCCTCGCAAACCGCCGCTTTTGGCTCGCGCGAGACGAACTCTCCGACTTTTTTTTGGGCGGCCGACCTCCCGAAAAATGGGTTGCCTTCCGGTGTCCGGCTAAAAAAACCCGAGCCAAAAAGGGGGGACTCCGAAAAATGTGTGCTTCCTTCCGGTGTCCGGCTAAAAAAACCCGAGCCAAAAAGGGGGAACTCCCGAAAAGTGTGTGCTTCCTTCCGGTGTCCGGCTAAAAATACCCGAGCCAAAAAGGGGGAACTCCCGAAAAATGTGTGCTTCCTTCCAGTGTCCGGCTAAAAAAACCCGAGCCAAAAAGGGGGAACTCCCGAAAAGTGTGTGCTTCCTTCCGGTGTCCGGCTAAAAAGACCCGAGCCAAAAAGGGGGAACTCCCGAAAAGTGTGTGCTTCCTTCCGGTGTCCGGCTAAAAAGACCCGAGCCAAAAAGGGGGAACTCCCGAAAAATGTGTGCTTCCTTCCGGTGTCCGGCTAAAAAGACCCGAGCCAAAAAGGGGGAACTCCCGAAAAATGTGTGCTTCCTTCCGGTGTCCGGCTAAAAATACCCGAGCCAAAAAGGGGGAACTCCCGAAAAATGTGTGCTTCCTTCCAGTGTCCGGCTAAAAAAACCCGAGCCAAAAAGGGGGAACTCCCGAAAAGTGTGTGCTTCCTTCCGGTGTCCGGCTAAAAAGACCCGAGCCAAAAAGGGGGAACTCCCGAAAAGTGTGTGCTTCCTTCCGGTGTCCGGCTAAAAAGACCCGAGCCAAAAAGGGGGAACTCCCGAAAAATGTGTGCTTCCTTCCGGTGTCCGGCTAAAAAAACCCGAGCCAAAAAGGGGGAACTCCCGAAAAGTGTGTGCTTCCTTCCGGTGTCCGGCTAAAAAGACCCGAGCAACAAAGGGGGAACTCCCGAAAAGTGTGTGCTTCCTTCCGGTGTCCGGCTAAAAAGACCCGAGCCAAAAAGGGGGAACTCCCGAAAAGTGTGTGCTTCCTTCCGGTGTCCGGCTAAAAAACCCGAGCCAAAAAGGGGGGACTCCGAAAAATGTGTGCTTCCTTCCGGTGTCCGGCTAAAAAAACCCGAGCAACAAAGGGGGAACTCCCGAAAAATGTGTGTTGCCTTCCGGTGTCCGGCTAAAAAGACCAGAGCCAAAAACGGGGAACTCCCGAAAAGTGTGTGCTTCCTTCCGGTGTCCGGCTGAAAAACCCGAGCCAAAAAGGGGGAACTCCCGAAAAGTGTGTGCTTCCTTCCGACGTCCGGCTAAAAAACCCGAGCCAAGAAGGGGGGACTCCGAAAAATGTGTGCTTCCTTCCGGTGTCCGGCTAAAAAGACCCGAGCCAAAAAGGGGGGACTCCGAAAAATGTGTGTTTCCTTCCGACGTCCGGCTAAAAAACCCGAGCCAAAAAGGGGGGACTCCGAAAAATGTGTGCTTCCTTCCGGTGTCCGGCTAAAAAAACCCGAGCCAAAAAGGGGGGACTCCCGAAAAGTGTGTGCTTCCTTCCGGTGTCCGGCTAAAAAGACCCGAGCCAAAAAGGGGGAACTCCCGAAAAGTGTGTGCTTCCTTCCGGTGTCCGGCTAAAAAACCCGAGCCCAAAAGGGGGGACTCCGAAAAATGTGTGTTTCCTTCCGGTGTCCGGCAAAAAAACCCGAGCCAAAAAAGGGAACTCCCGAAAAGTGTGTGCTTCCTTCCGGTGTCCGGCTAAAAAACCCGAGCCAAAAGGGGGGGACTCCGAAAAATGTGTGTGTTGCCTTCCGGTGTCCGGCTAAAAAACCCGAGCCAAAAAGGGGGAACTCCCGAAAAGTGTGTGCTTCCTTCCGGTGTCCGGCAAAAAAACCGAGCCAAAAAGGGGGGACTCCGAAAAATGTGTGCTTCCTTCCGGTGTCCGGCTAAAAAACAAGAGAAAAGAGGGGACTCCGAAAAATGTGTGTGTTGCCTTCCGGTGTCCGGCTAAAAAACCCGAGCCAAAAAGGGGGAACTCCCGAAAAGTGTGTGCTTCCTTCCGGTGTCCGGCAAAAAAACCGAGCCAAAAAGGGGGGACTCCGAAAAATGTGTGCTTCCTTCCGGTGTCCGGCTAAAAAACAAGAGAAAAGAGGGGACTCCGAAAAATGTGTGTGTTGCCTTCCGGTGTCCGGCTAAAAAACCCGAGCCAAAAAGGGGGAACTCCCGAAAAGTGTGTGCTTCCTTCCGGTGTCCGGCAAAAAAACCGAGCCAAAAAGGGGGGACTCCGAAAAATGTGTGCTTCCGGCTAAAAAAAAAAACCCGAGCAAAAAGGGGGGACTCCGAAAAATGTGTGGGAACTCCCGAAAAATGTGTGTTGCCTTCCGGTGTCCGGCTAAAAAACCCGAGCCAAAAAGGGGGGACTCCGAAAAATGTGTGCTTCCTTCCGGTGTCCGGCTAAAAAACCCGAGCCAAAAAGGGGGGACTCCGAAAAATGTGTGTTTCCTTCCGGTGTCCGGCAAAAAAACCCGAGCCAAAAAGGGGGGACTCCGAAAAATGTGTGCTTCCTTCCGGTGTCCGGCCAAAAAACCGAGCAACAAAGGGGGAACTCCCGAAAAATGTGTGTTGCCTTCCGGTGTCCGGCTAAAAAACCCGAGCCAAAAAGGGGGGACTCCGAAAAATGTGTGCTTCCTTCCGGTGTCCAGCTAAAAAACCGAGCAACAAAGGGGGAACTCCCAAAAAATGTGTGTTGCCTTCCGGTGTCCGGCTAAAAAACCCGAGCCAAAAAGGGGGGACTCCGAAAAATGTGTGTTTCCTTCCGGTGTCCGGCAAAAAAACCCGAGCCAACAAGGGGGGACTCCGAAAAATGTGTGTTTCCTTCCGGTGTCCGGCTAAAAAACCGAGCAACAAAGGGGGAACTCCCGAAAAATGTGTGTTGCCTTCTGGTGTCCGGCTAAAAAACCCGAGCCAAAAAGGGGGTGACTCCGAAAAATGTGTGCTTCCTTCCGGGGTCCGGCTAAAAAACCCGAGCCAAAAAGGGGGAACTCCCGAAAAGTGTGTGCTTCCTTCCGGTGTCCGGCTAAAAAACCCGAGCCAAAAGGGGGGGACTCCGAAAAATGTGCGTTTCCTTCCGGTGTCCGGCTAAAAAACCCGAGCCAAAAAGGGGGGACTCTGAAAAATGTGTGTTTCCTTCCGGTGTCCGGCAAAAAACCCGAGCCAAAAAGGGGGGACTCCGAAAAATGTGTGTTTCCTTCCGGTGTCCGGCTAAAAAACCCGAGCCAAAAAGGGGGGACTCCGAAAAATGTGTGCTTCCTTCCGGTGTCCGGCTAAAAAACCGAGCAACAAAGGGGGAACTCCCGAAAAATGTGTGTTGCCTTCTGTCCGGCTAAAAAACCCGAGGCAAAAAGGGGGGACTCCGAAAAATGTGTGTTTCCTTCCGGTCCGGCTAAAAAACCCGAGCCAAAAAGGGGGGACTCCGAAAAATGTGTGCTTCCTTCCGGTGTCCGGCTAAAAAACCCGAGCCAAAAAGGGGGGACTCCGAAAAATGTGTGCTTCCTTCCGGTCTCCGGCCAAAAAACCGAGCAACAAAGGGGGAACTCCCGAAAAATGGGAGTTGCCTTCCGGTGTCCGGCTAAAAAACCCGAGCCAAAAAGGGGGGACTCCGAAAAATGTGTGCTTCCTTCCGGTGTCCGGCTAAAAAACCGAGCAACAAAGGGGGAACTCCCGAAAAATGTGTGCTTCCTTCCGGGGTCCGGCTAAAAAACCCGAGCCAAAAAGGGGGGACTCCGAAAAATGTGTGTTTCCTTCCGGTGTCCGGCTAAAAAACCCGAGCCAAAAAGCGGGGACTCCGAAAAATGTGGGCTCCTTCCGGTGTCCGGCTAAAAAACCGAGCAACAAAGGGGGAACTCCCGAAAAATGTGTGTTGCCTTCCGGTGTCCGGCTAAAAAACCCGAGCCAAAAAGGGGGGACTCCGAAGAATGTGTGCTTCCTTCCGGTGTCCGGCTAAAAAACCGAGCAACAAAGGGGAACTCCCGAAAAATGTGTGTTGCCTTCCGGTGTCCGGCTAAAAAACCCGAGCCAAAAAGGGGGACTCCGAAAAATGTGTGTTGCCTTCCGGTGTCCGGCTAAAAAACCCGAGCCAAAAAGGGGGGACTCCGAAAAATGTGTGCTTCCTTCCGGTGTCCGGCTAAAAAACCGAGCAACAAAGGGGGAACTCCCGAAAAATGTGTGTTGCCTTCCGGTGTCCGGCTAAAAAACCCGAGCCAAAAAGGGGGGACTCCGAAGAATGTGTGCTTCCTTCCGGTGTCCGGCTAAAAAACCGAGCAAAAAGGGGGGACTCCGAAAAATGTGTGTTTCCTTCCGGTGTCCGGCTAAAAAACCCGAGCCAAAAAGGGGGGACTCCGAAAAATGTGTGTTGCCTTCCGGTGTCCGGCTAAAAAACCGAGCAACAAAGGGGGAACTCCCGAAAAATGTGGGCTTCCTTAAAAACCGAGCAAAAAAGGAGAAACTTCCAAAAAATGTGTGTTTCCTTCCGGTGTCCGGCTAAAAAAACCGAGCCAAAAAGGGGGAACTCCCGAAAAATGTGCTTCCTTCCGGTGTCCGGCTACAAAACCCGAGCCAAAAAGGGGGAACTTCCGAAAAATGTGTGTTTCCTTCCGGTGTCCGGCCAAAAAACCCGAGCCAAAAAGCGGGAACTTCCAAAAAAATGTGTATTGCCTTCCGGTGTCCGGCTACAAAACCGAGCAAAAAAGGGGGTGACTCCGAAAAATGTGTGCTTCCTTCCGGTGTCCGGCTAAAAAACCGAGCAACAAAGGGGGAACTTCCAAAAAGCGTGTGTTGCCTTCCGGTGTCCGGCTAAGAAACCGAGCAAAAAAGGGGGAACTTCCAAACAATGTGTGTTGCCTTCCGGTGTTCGAGTAAAAAACCGAGCCAAAAAGGGGGGACTTCCAAAAAATGTGTGTTTCCATTCCGGTGTCCGGCTAAAAAACCAAGCATAAAAGGGAGAAACCCCAAAAAAACAGACACACTGGACATCCAGGGTCGTGCTTTTGGAGAATCCTTGATGTCTCTGAGGTGTCTATGTTTCTTTCTTGCCCGAAGGAAGAATGAGGCCGCTCTCCTTTCAGAAGAGTCCCAACTCGGGTCTTATTTGGCCATGGGTCGAAATCCCGTACCCCCAGTGAAGATCCCAATCCCCACTAGCACAGACTAAATGGGTGGTGCGCCTACCGCAAAATGGGATCCCATTGGTCTTGACAACCACTGCCATTTCAAGAGCAGGGGAGAAGGCGGCGGTGCGCGGCACTTTGTGTCTTGCCGCGAGCATCAGCAATTTAGGTCCGGTGGCGAGGGGCCCAGGGCCTTTGGCTTCGCGAAATTGGATTCAAGGTCGTCGCGGGGTTTGAGGCAGTTTGAGTTTCACTGCGCAAGTTGCGGCCGACTTGGGGCCAGAGCTCGGTGTGAGGCCTGGCGTTGGGTGAAGGGGTGTAGTGGGCTTGGTTCCGGCTGATAGGGTTAGAAGCCACCGGAGTCCCAAGAGTCCCAAGAGTCAGAAGAGCAGCAAGAGCCGCAAGCGCCACAAGAGCCAAGCAGCCAACAAACGCCAAAAGCCGTCGACAAAAGACAACAACCGTCCCAAGCTGCCACAAGAAACCATCATCATGTATGCCCAACGGCCCGCTTGCGGGGGGGAAATGTCTCTCGTAACTCCCCGGGCGTCGCTCCGTGGCTCTTGCCAAGGTCTTGCTGGCGGCTGGATGTCAGGAGCCCTAAACAAAGAGTCGTTGGTTTGCACCGCAAGGCTGAAACGGGGTGTTCGGGTCAAGCTCATGGGCGTGGCAGGAGACCACGAAGACCGAATTTTTTGACAACCACCACAGCCATCTCCTTGGTGGCCAACCGAGACATTTCCAGCTCTCGGAGAGTCCGATCTGAAAGAGTTGCCCGGATCCACCAGAGCTCTGAATGTGAATAGACGACCTTGTCCTGGAGTATCAAAGAATCTGAAACGCTGGGTGGTCCCTGGTCTGGATTTTCCAAATGCTCGAAAGGCTTCGCTCAAAATGGGAACCGCCGCGGTAGCCTCCATTTCTGGGTGGCCCGAGTCTGAAGATTGGCCACAGCTTTAGGGGGAGGGTGGGGGGTCCCTAATTCTATTCCTCGGGTCTTACCCAGGGAAAGGGGAAACCTTTAAGATGAGATTCCAGCATTAACCCAAATCCCACTCCTCCCCAAATTCCATCTTTAAACAGTGGAGATGTCTGAAGAGGCTGCACACACAACGGGCCAAGCAGTGAAGCTGAGGCCGGAGCCACGTGCCATGACGAATGACGCACTCCACGCGTCGCGCAGACAAGTTGGGGGCCAAGTGGGAGTGAACTTTTGGCCAGCTCAAAGCATCCATGTGTTACGCGTTTCGCATGTGCAACTCCTTCGCGTTTCGAATATCCCCCTTGTTTCTCTGTTCTCTCGTTGCAGCGCGCGCTGCAGAAACGAGTCTGGCTCGAGCTGGACCAGAGTCGGAAGTCGATGTGCTTCCGGATCGGTTCTGCCAACGCGTGAAGTCAAGGGAGTCAACATCTAGTATAGGGTTGCCAAGGAAATGCGCTATGCGGCAAAAAATGGGGGGCCTGTCTGAACAATCCTTTTGCTTTCGCCTCACGAGCAACCGAGAAGGATCCTCCGAGTTCTGAAAAGGGCCACTCTTGAAAGGGAGGGGACCCTCCAGGAAGAATCCGAAGCGTTGTTCGAAACTGGCATCATATAAGCCATGGTGGTTCAAAGAGGACGTTGGTCGAACATATCTAGTTAGAAAATGCCATGCCCCTGCCATGGGTTTGATTTAGGCATTGATTCACAAACGCATCTCTGTTTTTCATGGTGATCCTGTTCACGTGCTCCCCATGTCAACAGGACATCAAAGAACCTGGAGAAAAAAAAAGACACTCTTCTCAAGGGCGCAGGCTGAATAAGGAGCCAGGCCAAGCCCCGACGCATGCTCTGAAAGTGGAGCATGTTCAAAACGCAAAAACGACGGTCAAGCCAAAGCCCTTGTTGAGGGTCGTCGAGCCGACTTTGCTAGGGTCCGACATCCTCGGCAACACCGCGCAACCCGAACGTTTTTCGGAAAGCTGGCCGTTGCTACATTAAACGGCTTGGGTGGCTGAGAGAATGGATCTCAGCGTTTGCTGCATTTACTCCTTTAGGAGACTTCTACCCCCTACCAGGCTAGCGGTCAGCCCTTGTGAGTCATGTTGAGTGGTACAATGGCCTAAAGAATCAGGGTGGGGTTGTTTGTCATTGTAGTGGTATACCATTTGTTTTTTTGTCAGCTCCTTATGTCACACCTTGACCTTCGGCCAGTGGGAATCGCAAGTCGAAAACATGACTGCATCACTATTCGCCGACCAAGCGTGCTCTCCCTTACCCGGAACTTTTGTGGGCATCGCCCCGTTTCACTCTCCCCCTTCACAGTTCGCCCGCTCTCGTTTGAGGCTTCAAAGCGGTGCTTTGTAGGGATGAACGGGCCTAAAGGCCCACGACTACTGCCCCTTTGTCCCTTTTGTTCAACCCACTTAGCACGTAGGTTACGACGATGGTCATAAGTGAGACATGTGGCTAGTTGACGTATTGACATACTTATATACAACCTAGTGACCTAATTAAGCGGGTCGAACGAAGCGCACTGCGCGGCCTTTTCCTCGCCATGAGGCCTGGCAACCTCACGCTCGAGGCAACCCCACACGTGCACTCTGGGGCCGAGCCCTGAATTACCTCCGAGGGTGGCGAGGCTGAAACGCCCCCAGTTCACCGTTACTAGAACGGCCTGACTAAATTGGATAAAACCAACTTTAAGGTCATGATCCCAGGAGCAAAAGCATAAGAATTCTCTCAGCCCTCGTGTGGTATACTTCTCGCGGCTCCTTTGTCTTAAACATCAAGGGGAACCCTCATGGTCTGAAGGGGAGAAGCACTCTTCTTGTCCTCGCTAGGATGAGTTTCCGAAAATCAGGGCGCTTACTTGGATGGTAAAGGGAAACCGAAATCCAACTCACTGCTTTCAGGACCTTTCAGAAACACTCATCAGGATGAAAACCAGTTTGTTCAAACACGTAGCCTGCCATGCCTGGTAGCTCTTGAGAGAACAACACCTTCAGCCAGGACACAAACAACAACAGTCACTGTGCCGTTTAGGCGATGCCTGCGTCTTGGAAAGGCCCAAGCCGGGCAATGCGGAAAAGCGCGAGGTTTCCCCGAGAAGCTCTCCGCAAATAGCTCTGAAAGAGGACACTTGAGCTGACTTGGAGGGAAAATCTCTGTATATGAACATATATATATATATATATATATGGTCCAGTGTCCATTGTCCCCAGGTCCCGGGACCGGGGACAGGGTACAGAGGTTGTGGTACAAATCATGTCCCCGCCCCCCCCCCCCCCCGTGGGCGATTTCTGTTGCAAGGTTCGATTCCATTTTCGGGAAACCCAACGGGTTTTTGACTTCTGGTCGCCCTTTTCCTGTGGAATCATGGTGGGTGACTTCTGTTGCAGGCATCGGCTACACTTCCGGGGAACTCAACCTGTTGTTGACTTCTGTCCCCAGCCCCCCCTGTGGAATCCTGGTGGACTTCTATTGCAAGCATCGGGTGCATTTTCGGGAAACCCAATCTAGACGTTCTTTCCTTTAGGGTTTATAACGTGATGTAGAAACAAGCGTTAAGGGTCATCCGAGCTTGGATCTGGAGGAACAAAGGTCCGGCAGCAGAGTTGTTATTTTTTTAAAAATAGGAGTCTTAATAGGAAGAAGCAGAGCTGAGAAGGCAGTTGCGCGGGAGCGCGGGGTGAGAAGCATTTAAGCAAATCCCAGTGGCTCGGCAACGGTTTGAGGTTTCCAGCTTCAAGAAAATGAGCGCCGCGCCACAGCCAAAGGACCACGCGAAAGTCCGCAGAGTCTTAGAGGGTCGAGAATTGCAAAAGAAAACACGAGTTCTTGAAGGCTCGCAGCCCGAAACCACGACAGGGCCACGAAAAACAGCTCGCCGATAGAGGCTCCAAAATGACGGCCCTGCCAGCAAACGAGGGTTTATTTGCCGATAGGGCCAACGTTTTTGAACGGAACCGCCCGGGTGGGGGGGGGACCGTAACTGGTCACGGGACCATATATACATGTGTGCACCCCTGACATAAAATTCCCTCGACACCCTTTGCCGCACCAAATCACTGCATCTCTCAATGGCTGGGACTGCTGCCTGGCTGCGCGGTTTAGACCAGCAGTTTAGACCCGGCCCCATGCCTACCAGGACGGATTCAGCCTTTTTGCAAGTGTACCAGGGGCAGTCCGAAATGCAGATCCAGGTTTACCTCTTGACCCTTTGAGAACCTGGGCCCCAACGCAGAACTCAAAGCCTTTTTCGACTGAGGAAAGGAACGGCCAACGCACAGAAGGCCAGTGACGAGCATTACACATCAACAAGAGTTGCAGAAACGCAAACCTACTGGACATGACTACCGTACTACAACGCCACTATACTGGACTGATCAGCACAGCTGGAAAGAGATTGTTGGTGCTCCACAAAATTCCACTTGTGCATAACTATTCTCCTGCAGTCTACCCAAATTGCGTGTTAGTTGTAGTTGTTGCCAAAGAAAAAAACACTTCTGGTTTACTTCGCCGCGAACATTCCCGACCCTCTTGCCGAGGTACTTGAGGATTTGTTTTTGTTTTTTCATTTGTTCCATAACATCGTCTCTAATATTGTTCAAAGTACTACAATCTTTATCAATACAATCTTCACCTCTTTATAAAAATGGGTTCATTTCTCCACTATACGCATTAACAAGGTTAAGCATATAACCACTGGGTTTATGGTTCTGATATGTTCCCTTTATTCCATCTGATGTTTCTGTTGTTAAACATTCGAAATCACCAAACAATAACAAATGGTGCTTTCAGTTTCTTAAAATGTTTTTCAAACATCATTGGTGTTCCTTCTTTTGGTAGTTTAATGTGTTGAATTTCATTTGCCATACAACATTTTATTAAGTGACAATTTAAAAGTTGTTCTGACTTATAACCGTGATGACAGTATTTACAAAAGAACATGTTATTAGTTGTTTTATTAGTTTCTCTTCCCATTAACCTCCTAAAATATTTGATTAGAACATAATGTTCGCTATTCTATTGTTCGGTTCGTAGTACATTGATGTGACAAGATGGCCTGTCAATCTTCGTTATTCTGTCTGCTCTGATGGTGCGGTTCTCATCTTCTACATAAACATTGACCGATATAGTGTTACTATTGATTTGTTCAAAGTGGCCGATGTCATCATTGGATGCTGGAAAGTTCCCATCCCAGGGAATGAGACTTTCATTAGTCATTAACTTCCTGTAATGTCTTCAGCACGCTTTTCAGACTCCGAACTTGCGCCAAAGTTACAACAGCCCCAGGTTCAAGCTCAGCTGCTCTTGCACCTGGCTGCTGTCTCCGCCGTGTTCTGGACGACCCCAGGTCACAACAGCCCCAGATTCAAGAATGGCGGCAAAAGCTCTGTCAGTTGCTTGGATGTGCTGGACGTTCTTCAGCTGCTCTTGCACCTGCCTGCTGTCGCCGCCATATGTTGGACTACCCCAAGTCACAACATCCCCAGACTCAAGAATAGCAGCAAAAGCATTGTCAGTTGCTTGGATGCGCTGGACGTTCCTCAGCTGCTCTTGCACTTGGCTGTGACAGCCCCAGGCCACAACAGCCCCAGATTCCAGAATGGCTGCAAAAGCACTGCCAGTTGCTTGGATGTGCTGAACGTTCTTTAGCTGCTCTTCCACTTGGCTGCTGTCTCCGCCCCATTCTGCATTACCCCAAGTGACAACAGCCCCAGATTCAAGAATGGCAGCAAAAGCTCTGTCAGTTGCTTGGATGTGCTGGACGTTCTTCAGCTGCTCTTGCACCTGCCTGCTGTCTCCGCCGGAATCTGGATCACCCCAGGTCACAACAGCTCCGGATTCAAGAATGGCAGCAAAGGCAGCGTCAGTTGCTTGGATGTGCTGAACGTTCCTCAGCTGCTGTTGCACCTGGCTGCTGTCTCCGCCATATTCTGGAATACCCCAGGTCACAACAGCCCCAGATTCAAGAATGGCTGCAAAAGCACCGTTAGTTGCTTGGATGTGCTGCACGTTCCTCAGCTGATCTTGCACCTGGCTACTGTCTCTGCCGGATTCTGGATGGCCCCAGGTCACAACAGCTCCAGATTCAAGAATGGCAGCAAAAGCACCGCCAGTTGCTTGGATGCTCTGGACGTTCCTCAGCTGCTCTTGAACCTGGCTGCTGTTTCCGCCATAGTCTGGATTACCCCAGGCCAGAACAGCCCCAGAT